CCTCCTCTGGACACATTCCAGCTTAAGAGTCAATATCCGCCTTACATCTCACATATTTATACATGGCTATCATGCCTCCTCTCAGCCTTCGCTTCTTCAGACTAAACGTGCCCACCTCTTTAAGCCGCTCCTCATAGGGCTTGTTCTCCAGACCCTTGATCATTTTAGTTGCCCTCCTCTGGACACATTCCAGCTTAAGAGTCAATATCCGCCTTACATCTCACATATTTATACATGGCTATCATGCCTCCTCTCAGCCTTCGCTTCTTCAGACTAAACGTGCCCACCTCTTTAAGCCGCTCCTCATAGGGCTTGTTCTCCAGACCCTTGATCATTTTAGTTGCCCTCCTCTGGACACATTCCAGCTTAAGAGTCAATATCCGCCTTACATCTCACATATTTATACATGGCTATCATGCCTCCTCTCAGCCTTCGCTTCTTCAGACTAAACGTGCCCACCTCTTTAAGCCGCTCCTCATAGGGCTTGTTCTCCAGACCCTTGATCATTTTAGTTGCCCTCCTCTGGACACATTCCAGCTTAAGAGTCAATATCCGCCTTACATCTCACATATTTATACATGGCTATCATGCCTCCTCTCAGCCTTCGCTTCTTCAGACTAAACGTGCCCACCTCTTTAAGCCGCTCCTCATAGGGCTTGTTCTCCAGACCCTTGATCCTTTGAGTCGCCCTCCTCTGGACACATTCCAGCTTAGTCAATATTCCCCTTACATATCACATATTTATACATGGCTATCATGTCTCCACTAGAGACAAAGTTGAAGTACTTTGGCCACATCATGAGGAGACAGGAAAGCCTAGAGAAGACAATTATGCTGGGGAAAGTGGAAGGCAAAAGGAAGAGGGGCCGACCAAGGGCAAGATGGATGGATGGCATCCTTGAAGTGACTGGACTGACCTTGAGGGAGCTGGGGGTGGTAACGGCCGACAGGGAGCTCTGGCGTGGGCTGGTCCATGGGGTCATGAGGAGTCGGAGACGACTGAACGAATGAACAACAACACATCATGTCTCCTCTCAGCCTTCATTTCTTCAGACTAGGTCTTTAAGCTGCTCCTCATAGGGCTTGTTCTCCAGACCCTTGATCATTTTAGTCGCCCTCCTCTGTACACATTCCAGCTTAGAGGCAATATCCTCCTTACATCTCACATATTTATACATGGCTATCATGTCTCCTCTCAGCCTTCATTTCTTCAGACTAGGTCTTTAAGCCGCTCCTCATAGGGCTTGTTCTCCAGACCCTTGATCATTTTAGTCGCCCTCCTCTGTACACATTCCAGCTTAGAGGCAATATCCTCCTTACATCTCACAGATTTATACATGGCTATCATGACTCCTCTCTGCCTTCGCTTCTTCAGACTAAACATGCCCAGCTCTTTAAGCCGCTCCTCATAGGGCTTGTTCTCCGGACCCTTGATCATTTTGTTGCCCTCCTCTGGACACATTCCAGCTTTTGTATCCATTATAACTGTATTCTCAGTTTGCTTCTGACACGATAAATAAATAATACCGGCTGAACAATGGCCCCTCCTTTTCAGAAATGGTTGGGGAATGGGCCGATAAATGCAGGCTTCTGGCCCCCTACACAGACCTTATTAATGAAGCTATTAGCACAGACAGACCATCTATTCTCCCTCGCCAAAGGAGAAAAGGAATTGCAATTACAATTTCAACAAGTTCCCTCTTTCCACCAGCCTTGGATTGGAAAGGAGGCAGAATTCCACGGCAGCCTGAAATGCAATCCCAGCGCCTTTCCTGTGAAAGCTGACCTGCCCCGCTCCCTCCCTTCCTGACCTATTAAAGTCCCGAAGCTGGGAAATTCCTGGCATTCCTGTGGGCTTTGGCCTGCTTGTGGCAAGAGCCTGGCAGAGAACAGGAAATCAACAGTCGGGGAGAGGACGGCTGCGCGCATGGAAAACAAACACGCTCTCATACACTTTTTGCTCTATTTTTCTACACCCAGAGCTTTTGGGGGGGGGGGGGGGAATCACTCTCTGGATGATCACTCCCAGAATCCCAGATAAGAAAAAAAAATTCATAGTTACGAGGGTTGAATGAAAAGTAATGCCTCCACCTTCGTAACTCCGATACAGAAGGTAGTACTGGTATGCGGCAGGTACTGGCTTGTTCAGTAGACTCTCCTCTACAGTTCCGTTTTGGTGGGAAGCCTTAGCATTGAAGGATTTTGATGTTAAAGTGCAAAGTAGGGAACCCTGCACAGACGGTCGGTCAATGCAACTTAAGCAATGTGCAGTCATTGAATTCTTGACAGCAGAAGGTGTCACCCCCAAATTTTCTTTGGAAGACGCCTGTGCATGGGTTTTTTTTAATGTGTGGATGTCTTAATGGTGTAACATTAGAAAATGTTGACCATTTCCGCTACCTTGGCAGCCACCTCTCCACCAAAGTCAACATTGACACCGAAATACAACACCGCCTGAGCTCTGCGAGTGCAGCATTTTCCCGAATGAAGCAGAGAGTGTTTGAGGACCGAGACATCTGTAGGGATACCAAGGTGCTTGTCTATAAAGCTATTGTCCTCCCAACCCTGCTACATGCCTGCAAAACGTGGCCTGTCTACAGATGTCACATGCAACTCCTGGAACGATTCCATCAGCGCTGCCTCCGGAAAATCCTGCAAATATCTTGGGAAGACAAGCGGACAAACGTCAGCGTGCTGGAAGAAGCAAAGACCACCAGCATTGAAGCGATGGTCCTCTGCCATCAACTCCGATGGGCCGGCCACGTTGTCCGAATGCCTGACCACCGTCTCCCAAAGCAGTTGCTCTACTCTAAACTTAAGAATGGAAAACGGAACGTTGGTGGGCAGGAAAAGAGATTTAAAGATGGCCTCAAAGCCAACCTTAAAATCTCTGGCGTAGACACTGAGAACTGAGAAGCCCTGGCCCTTGAGTGCTCCAGCTGGAGGTCAGATGTGACCAGCAGTGCTGCAGAATTTGAGGAGGCACGAGTGGAGGGTGAAAGAGAGAAACGTGCCAGGAGGAAGGCGCGTCAAGCCAACCCCGACCGGGACCGCCTTCCACCTGGAAACCAATGCCCTCACTGTGGGAGAAGATGCAGATCAAGAATAGGGCTCCACAGCCACCTACGAATCCACAAGGAAACCCATCATGGAAGACCATCTTACTCGTCCAACGAGGGATTGCCTAAGGTAAGGTAAGGTCACCCCAAAGGAGATTCATCAGAGAATGCAAGATGTTTAGGGTGATTGTGTTGATGTGAGTACTGTGTGTTGTTGGGGGAGTAAGTTTAAAGACGTTGATGTGACACCTTCTGCTGTCAAGAATTCAATGACTGAACGTTGCTTAAGTTTCATTGACCGACCATCTGCGCAGGGTTCCATACTTCCAACAATGGACCTGGACCACATTTGACACACAGAACACCCATGATCAAGGCAAAATACTGGAGAGGTTTGGGAGGAATTCATCTTGATTTATAGGAGTTGTAGGCTGGGCTGAGGCCTGGTCTTCCCTTTTCGGTGGTGGCCTCCCAGGCTGGGCCTCGGTGTGGCCTTTCCTGGGACCGAGGGGGAGCCCCTTTCCACACTGCCGACCCCTTGGAAGGCCCTCCCCAGCCAACCTGCCGGGGTGCCTCCTCGGGGGCAGTGGTACACCAGGGCCCTCGGCCCAGAACAGCAGCAGTGTGTCGTCAGCTTGCTCGTCCATGGCCGGCTGTGGCACTCGGCGAGGAGGAGGAGGGCAGTACTTGGCCGGGGCGAAAGACGGGGCAAGCGTGTCAGAGGGGTGGCCAAAGACCCTACACTGTATTTTCTGTTGCTCATGGGGGTTCTGCGTGGAAAGTTTGGCCCACTTCTATTGTTCAGAATGTTCTTTGATTGAAGGTGAACAATAAATCCCAGCAACTACAACTCCCAAATGTCAAGGTCTGTTTTCCCCAAACTCCACCAGTGTTTACACTTGGGCATATTGAGTATTCATGCCAAGTTTGGTCCAGTTCCCTCATTGTTTGAGTCCCCAGTGCTCTCTGGATGTAGGTAAACTACAACTCCCAAACTCAAACCCACCAAACCCTTCCAGTATTTTCTGTTGGTCAAGGGAGTTCTGTGTGCCAAGTTTGGTTCAATTGCATCGCTGGTGGAGTTCAGAATGCTCTGATTGTAGGTAAACTATAAATCCCAGCAACTACAACTCCCAACTGTCAATGTCTATTTTCCCCAAATGCCATCAGTGTTCACATTTGGGCATATGGAATATTTGTGTCAAGTTTGGTCCAGATCCATCATTGTTTGAGTCCCCAGCGCTCTCTGGATGTAGGTAAACTACAACTCGCAAACTCAAGGTCAATGCCCACCAAACCCTTCCAGTATTTTCTGTTGATCATGGGAGTTATGTGTGGTTCAATTGCATCATTGGTGGAGTTCAGAATGCTCTGATTGTAGGTAAACTATAAATCCCAGCAACTACAACTCCCAACTGTCAATGTCTATTTTCCCCAAATGCCATCAGTGTTCACATTTGGGCATATTGAGTAATCTGGCCGGGTTTGGTCAAGTTCCATCATTGTTTGAGTCCCTAGTGCTCTCTGGATGTAGGTAAACTACAACTCCCAAACTCAAGGTCAATGCCCACCAAACCCTTCTAGTATTTTCTGTTGATCATGGGAGTTCTGTGTGCCAAGTTTGGTTCAATTGCATCGTTGGTGGAGTTCAGAATGCTCTGATTGTAGGTGTACTATAAATCCCAGCAACTACAACTCCCAAATGATATAATCAATCCCCCGCCCAATCCCAATAGTATTCAAATTTGGGTGTTTGGGATATTAGTGCCAAATTTGGTCCAATGAATGGGAATACATCCTGCATATTGGATAGTTACATTACAGTTCATAACAGTAGTAAAATTACAATTAAGAAGTAGCAACAAAGATAATGTTATGGTTGGGGGTCACCACAACATGAGGAAGTGTATGAAGGAAGGCTCCCAGGTAAACAACACGTACCTCGCGGCCATCTTGTCCCACATTGGTTTGCCCTCTCACCACCGTCCGAATATTATCGTCCAGCCGTCTGCAACGAGAAAGGAGAAAAAAAGCAGACAGCCTTTAAAAAAATAGATCACAGCCATAGGAAGGAAATAAAATGTGTGACATTTTAGTGTTAACGAAGTATTCCACTCTGTGTGCCAAAACCAAGGAGAGACAGCCGTTGTTCCACCTTTCGTTTCCATAATGCTATTGGAAATATGGAAACTGAAAGAGTTTCCTGATGTATTAGCAACGATGCCCTGCCTGTGAACTTCCCATCAACATGGAGGAAAATTGGGAGACATAGTGTAAGAAAGGAGCTGTTCAACACTCTGGAATCCCACTATTCAAATATATTCTGACGCATGACTGGCTTTGGGTTTATTTATATATTTCTCGTGTCAGGGCAGCCAGTCAGTTATATTACATTTCTAACAGAACAAAGCAAACAAACAGAGAAAATACAAAATGTGTGAGTTTGGTAGTTGATTAAATGTCCTTTGACCAGTATCTGGCCACTTGGAGGGCCTCTGGTGTTGCTGCAAGAAGGTCCTCCATGGTGCATGTGGCAGGGCTCAAGTTGCATTGCAGCAGGTGGTCAGAAGTTTGCTCCTCTTTGTGGCCCCATTTCTGAAGGTTGGCTCTGCATCTCGTGGTGCCAGAGCGCAGTCTGTTCAGCGCCTTCCAAGTCGCCCAGTCCTCTGTATGCCCAGGGGGGAGTCTCTCATTTGGTATCAGCCATTGGTTGAGGTTCTGGGTTTGAGCCTGCCACTTTTGGACTCTCGCTTGCTGAGGTGTTCCAGCGAGTGTCTCTGTAGATCTTAGAAAACTATGTCTGGATTTAAGTCGTTGACGTGCTGGCTGATACCCAAACAGGGGATGAGCTGGAGATGTCTCTGCCTTGGTCCTTTCACTATTGGCTGCCACTTCCCGGCGGATGTCAGGTGGTGCAATACCGGCTAAGCAGTGTAATTTCTCCAGTGGTGTAGGGCGCAGACACCCGTGATAATGCGGCATGTCTCATTAAGAGCCACATCCACTGTTTTAGCATGATGAGATGTGTTCCACACTGGGCATGCATACTCAGCAGCAGAGTAGCATAGCGCAAGGGCAGATGTCTTCACTGTGTCTGGTTGTGATCCCCAGGTTGTGCCAGTCAGCTTTCGTATGATATTGTTTCTAGCACCCACTTTTTGCTTGATGTTCAGGCAGTGCTTCTTGTAGGTCAGAGCACGGTCCAGAGTGACTCCCAGGTACTTGGGTGCGCTGCAATGCTCCAGTGGGATTCCTTCCCAGGTGATCTTCAGAGCTCGGGATGCTTGTCTGTTCTTGAGATGAAAGGCACATGTCTTTGTTTTAGATGGGTTAGGGATCAGCTGGTTTTCCTGTAATAGGCAGTAAGAGCACCTAGAGCTTCGGAGAGCTTCTGTTTAACCATCTCAAAGCTCCCTGCTTGAGCGGTAATGGCATGATCATCAGCATAGATGAAACTCTCTGTCCCTTCTGGCAGTGGCTGGTCATTTGTGTAGATGTTGACCATGGATGGAGCAAGCACGCTCCCCTGAGGCAGGCCGTTCTTCTGTTTCCGCCATCTGCTTCTCTGGCCCTGGAACTCAACAAAAAAGCTCCTGTTTTGTAGCAGGTTTCCTATGAGGGGGAGATGGTCGTCCTTTGTGATGTTATACATTTTTCTTAGGAGGAGGCGGTGGTTCACAGTATCATAGGCTGCAGACAGGTCTACCAGTTTTGGGTGAAGATGCCACTTTCCCACCCAGCACAGAGAAACATAAACAAACAGCTCTTGACTTATTTATTTACAACATTTATATGCCACCCTTCTCATCTCAATGGGGACTCAGAGCGGCTTTCTCTCTCTCTCTCTCTCTCTCTCTCTCTATATATATATATATATATGTATGTATGTATGTATGTATATATACTAGCTGTGCCCTGCCACGCGTTGCTGTGGCCTATAGTAAGAATTTTCGAAGTAGAGGTAGATATCTGAACTATTATGAAAGAGAGGTACCTACCTATTCCTTCCCCCTTTTTCTTCCCCTTCCCCTTTCTCTCCTTTCTTCCTTCTTTACCTCTTTCTTTCATTCCTTCTTTCGCTCTTTGGTTTCATCCTTCATTTTCTCTTTCCTTCCTTCCCTCCCCCTTTCTCTACTTCTTCTTTTGTCTCCTTTCTCTCCCTTCCTGTTTCCTTCCTTCTTTCAATTTTATTTCCTTTTCTCCTTCCTTCCTTACCTCTTTCTGCATTTCCCTCCCCCTTTTTTCTTTTCTACTTTCTCTTCTTCCTTCCCTCTTTCCTTCTTTCTCTCCCTCCTTCTCTCTTTCCTTCCCTCCTTCATTCTTTCCCCCCTCCTTCTCTCTTTCCTTCCTTCCCCCTTTCCCTCCATTCCTTCCCTTTTTCCCTCCCTCCTTTCTTCTCTTCCTTCCTGTCTGTTCTCCCCCAATACCATAATATATATATGTATTATATAGCAATATATAATATCAATATATAAAGTATTGTAATTATATATATATACACACACACACACATACACATACACACATACTCACACACAACAACCAGTAAGTACCTTCTGTTGTGTTTTTCAGCGTTTTTATGAGTGATGATCACTCGTTGGCCTGATAGGTGTATTGTGTCCAAATTGGTGTCAATTCGCCCAGTGGTTTTTGACTTATGTTAATCCCTCAAATGAACATTACATTTATATATATATATATATACACATACACATACACAATATTATTAGCATTGCACTATATCAATGTTATATATTACTAAATAGCACTATACAATTATACTGTAATATTATCAGTAATATTACATGTAATATAAAATATATAATTATAATATATTATTATTAGTAGTAGTATTGTACTGTACTACATTATAATATTATACATACCTTATTTTCAGCTTGATCTTATTCACCACATCATCAATGTTTGCCAGAGACTGTAAGACAAAAAAGGGGCAAGGAGGAGAAAAGAGCCACAGAGTTTAATTCATTTAATTACATGATAATAATATAATATACTTTATTTATATTCCACCCTATCTCCCTGAGGGGACTCAGGGCGGATTACAGTGCACACACGGAAAACATTCAATGCCGTTATACAATGGACAAGGACAGACAATACATAAACAGAGGCAAAGGCTTCCCATCTTTTTCCATCTTTGGCATATGGAGGCTGTGCTCGACTCTGGCCCCAAGGGGGTACTGTCGCTCCACTTCCATGCCGAGGAGCTTTGTTGTCATTAGACACTCTCCCAATCAAATCGTAGGCATGTCCGCATGGGCACCTTTTATTGCACACATATGGCAAACATTCAGTGCCGTTATACAATGGACAAGGACAGACAATACATAAACAGAGGCAAAGGCTTCCCATCTTTTTCCATCATATGGAGGCTGTGCTCGACTCTGGCCCCAAGGGGGTACTGTCGCTCCACTTCCATGCCGAGGAGCTTTGTTGTCATTAGACACTCTCCCAATCAAATCGTAGGCATGTCCGCATGGGCACCTTTTATTGCACACATATGGCAAACATTCAGTGCCGTTATACAATGGACAAGGACAGACAATACATAAACAGAGGCAAAGGCTTCCCATCTTTTTCCATCTTGGCATCTGGAGGCTGTGCTCGACTCTGGCCCCAAGGGGGTACTGTCGCTCCATTTCCATGCCGAGGAGCTTTGTTGTCATTAGACACTCTCCCAATCAAATCGTAGGCATGTCCGCATGGGCACCTTTTATTGCACACATATGGCAAACATTCAGTGCCGTTATACAATGGACAAGGACAGACAATACATAAACAGAGGCAAAGGCTTCCCATCTTTTTCCATCTCCGGCATCTGGAGGCTGTGCTCGACTCTGGCCCCAAGGGGGTACTGTCGCTCCATTTCCATGCCGAGGAGCTTTGTTGTCATTAGACACTCTCCCAATCAAAACGTAGGCATGTCCGCATGGGCACCTTTTATTACCTCCCCATCATTGCAGTACCTATTTATCTACTCACACTGCTATTTTTGAACTGCTAGGTGAGCAGAATCTGGGCTGACGGTGGGAGCTCACCCCAAACCGGGCTTGAACTGTCGACCTTTCAAGCGGGAAGATTTTCTGAAGCTGGTGGATTAACCCACTGTGCTAAAGCCTAGCCCTGCTAACGCCCAGCTCGCAACAACTGGATGGAAAGCGATCTCTCACTGGAAAAATAAAGGATCAGCAGAGGATCTGTCCAGAGAATGCAGAGGGTTGTTGGTAGGACATTTTGTCGCTTAAATTATAGTATCCAGCTGAATATAGTATTCAAGATATGGACATCAAGGGTCACAAAAGGAGTTGTAACTCATTATGTTCATATGTTTAATAGTTTATGGTATAATTGTTTGAGCACTAGACTAGGATTCTTCTTCTTCTTCTTAGTCTGGACATGCGAATTCTGATCCCTACTAAACTATGGAAAGCAATCTTGGACAAGTCACTCTCTCTCAGCTTCAAAACACACCAAAGGCCAACTGGAAGGTTGGCAGTTCAAAGCTGCGGGTTGGAGCGAGCTCCTGCCGTTGCCCTAGCTTCTGCCTACCTAGCAGTTAGAAAACAATAATGTGATTAGATCAATAGGTACAGTTTTGGCAGGGAAGTAAAATGCGCTCATGCAGACGTGCTGGCAATTCGAAAACAGGCTCGTCGGCATGGAAAATTGAGCAAGAGCACCCCCCCCCCCCATGGCTGGAGTTGAGAATAGCTTCCAGAAACTGTGGTGCAGCTGGCTGGGAGTCAACTGCATTAAGATCACTACTGACTGAAAGGAAATGAGTTCGAAGCCAGCCCGGGTTGGAGTGAGCTTCCGACCAATTTATGTAGCTTGCTGTCGACTTTTGCAGCCCAAAAGACAGTTGCATCTGTCAAGTAGGAAATTTAGGTACCRCTTATGTGGGGAGGCTAATTTAACTAATTTACGACGCCATAAAAATCTCCAGCAAGCATGCAAAGAATGAGGAAGTACTTCATCAGTGTCACAAATGGATGCTGAAGTGATAGCTCCCCTGGTGGCCAGAATACCCTCATGTTAAATAGCCTCTGAGTATCTATATATGTTGTGGCACTGCATGTTTACCATGGCATTGCATGTTTACCATGTATATGTACATTGTAATCTACCCTGAGTCCCCTGTGGGGTGAGAAGGGCAGAATATAACTACTGTAAATAAATGAAAATGGTGGAAGCCTTTGCCTCTGTCTGTGTACTGTCTGTCTTTGATGTTAATTATATAATGGCATTGAATGTTTACCATATATATATATATATATATATATATATATATATATATATAGTAATCTGCTCTGAGTCCCCTCGGAGAGATAAAGCAGAATATAAATAAAGTATATTATTATTATTATTATTATTATTATTATTATTATTATTACCCACCCTAAGCACATATTGCCAAGGAAACTCTGATATGAGCACATTAGGATCAGCATAAGACAGAACAGCAAATATAAATAGATATATTTTATTTATTTATTTATTTATTTATTTATTTATTTATTTATTATTTAAAACTTTTATATCCCGATCTTCTTAACCTCCGTAGAGGGATTCTGATTGGCTTACAGCAAGGATTCAATGCTAACAGTACAATCTAAAAACATCTATATAAATAAAAATGTAGTGTTCGTTTGTGGGATTCACAGAACTCAAAAACCACTGGACAAATTGACACCAAATTTGGACACAAGACACCTAACAACCCAATGTATGTCCTTCACTCAAAAAAAAATGATTTTGTCATTTGGGAGTTGTAGTTGCTGCGATTTATAGTTCACCTACAATCAAAGAGCATTCTGAAACCCCACCAACGATGGAACTGAACCAAACTTGGCACACAGTTCTCCCATGACCAACAGAAAATATTGGAAGGGTTTGGTGGGCAGTGTCCTTTGTTATGGAGTTGTAGTTCACCTACATCGAGATCACTGTGGACTCAAACAATGATGGATCTGGACCAAACTCTACACGAATACTCAATATGCCCAAATGTGAACACAGATGGAGTTTGGGGAAAATAGAATCTTGACATATGGGAGTGGTATTTGTTGGGATTTATAGTTCACCTACAATCACAGAGCATTCTGAACCCCACCAACGATAGAATTGGGCCAAACCCCCCACGCAGAACCCCCATGTGGGCCACAGCAATGTGTCGCAGGGGACGGCTAGTCATATAATAACGAGTTAAAATACATTAAAATTACAAATAAGCCAAATCACCAAGATAAAATCATGTCCAATTCAGTCCGTATGTGTGGTCGATAACTTTGTTCTGTAGCCGGTTTCAACCATTACTCTGGGAATGCTTCCTTCCATAGCCAGGACTGAAGGACAGGAGGGAGGGGACAGATCTGATCTCAATCGGGAGAGAGTTCCATAGCCGAGGGGCCACCACAGAAAAGACCCTGTCTCTCGTTCCCGCCAGATGTGATTGCGAAAGTGGTGGTTCTTAATTGTAGATCTTAATTGTCTTGGTGGTTCATAGGGGAGAATACATTCAGACAGCTAAACCAGGCCGGAACTGTATAGGGTTTTGTAGGTTAAAACGAGCACTTTGAATTGTGCTCGGAAGCTAATTGGCAGCCAGTGGAGCTGGCGCAACAAAGGAGTTGTGCGCTTCCTGTACCCCGCTTCTGTTAGTAATCTGGCTGCCGAACATTGGACTAATTGCAGCTTCCGGGCAGTCTTCGGGGCAACCCCATGTAGAGAGCGTTGCAGTAGTCAATACAGGATGTAACCAAAGCATGGACCACCATGACAGACAGTCAGATAAATAACACATACACTCCTACTCATATATAGTACCACTCTATTTTATTATTAATTTTGCTTTTAAATAAGGAAAACAAAGGCAAATATAAGTTTATAAGTTTTTCATTTGCTGCTTCTCAAAACATTTAGGAGGAGGTTGACAACAAAAAGGGAACAGCGGCCTCTAGTGGACAAAGAAAGAAAAGCAAACAGTGCCAATTTTGGATTGTTGCTTTACATTTCCAAAACTGGGAGGAAAACACAAGGGGAAAATGACAAAGTAACTCCAAATCACACAAGGCACCCAGGAAAAGACTCCACTCACTTGCTCGGTTGGGAAAAGCGTGTTGATGTATTCCACGGCGTTGAAGTCAGCTCTGTCCAGCGGATCTTGACTGGGGAACACCTGTGGGTTGAAAGAAAGAAAAAGGTCTCAGTTATAGTCTAGCTTGCTGTTGACCTATGCAGCCTGAAACACACTTACATCTGTCAAGTAGGAAACGTAGCTAATTTAACTAATTTACGACGCCATAAAACCTTCCAGCAACATGCAGAAGAATGAGGAAGTACTCCATCAAAGGATTCGGGTTCGCAAGTGGACAGTGATGCAGCTGCTCCCCCTGTGGCCAGAATCGAGCATACCCTCATTAAGCCGGAAAAGCTGGAATGTTAAATAGCCTCTGTGTGTCTGTCTATAGATGTTGTGCGTCTATGGCATTGAATGTTTACCATTTATATGTGCGTTGTGATCCGCCCTGAGTCCCCTGCGGGGTGAGAAGGGCRGAATATAAATACTGTCAATAAATAAATAATTATTTCCCAACGATGATAACTAAGCCTGTGAAACTTGATCTCCMAGAATGGCCGCAATTGCTGGATGGAGACTTCCTCCAGTGGGACAAAGCYAGTATCCTCTTGAGGAGTGTGAGGTAAACCTCTGTGTGAGAGAYGCCTYGTGTGAGTTAGTAGGCCCAAGCCTGTTWGCRTCAGTGGGRCAAARCTAGTGTYCTCCTGAGGWGTGTKAGRTAAACCTCTGTGTGAGAGATGCCTCGTGTGAGTTAGTAGGCCCAAGCCTGTTAGCATCAGTGGGACAAAGCTAGTGTCCTCYTGAGGAGTGTGAGRTAAAACCTCTGTGTGAGAGATGCCTCGTGTGAGTTAGTAGGCCCAARCCTGTTAGCGTCAGTGGRACAAAGCTAGTGTCCTCTTGAGGAGTGTKAGGTAAACCTCTGTRTGAGAGATGCATCGTGTGAGTTAGTAGGCCCAAACCTGTTAGTGTCAGTGGGACAAAGCTAGTGTTCCCCTGAGGAGTGTGCGGTAAACCTCTGTGTGAGAGACGCCTTGTGTGAGTTAGTAGGCCCAAGCCTGTTAGCGTCAGTGGGGCAAAGCTAGTGTCCTCCTGAGGAGTGTGAGGTAAACCTCTGTGTGAGAGATGCCTTGTGTGAGTTAGTAGGCCCAAGCCTGTTAGCATCAGTGGACAAAGCTGGTGTCCTCCTGAGGAGTGTGAGGTAAACCTCTGTGTGAGAGATGCCTCGTGTGAGAAAGCTCCAGTGTGAAGACTGCTGTGTGTAAAGCTACTGTGTCATGGAAACCTTATTTTTGTAAATAGTACAACTATATTGTTTTGCTATAAAGAAAAGCCTCCTATGGAAGAGATAACTGTGTGTTTTTGTTCTTTTTCTCACTTTTGGCTACAGGTGCTGGGTCACGCTACTGGTGATAAGTTACTCTGGTGTGCATTTATGAGGACGGTGTTTTGTTAATTAATAAGCCCATTTGCCCAACAATTAAGACTGTCAAAGGCTAGCAAAGGATGCTGGGAGATGCAGTTCAAGCACCACTGGAAGGCTTCACAACAGCAAACACTGTTGGACTACAAACCCCATGATTCATGATAGCAAGCACTGTTGGAACTGCAAACTCCATGGTTCACAGTAGAAAACACTGTTGGGACTAGAAACTGTATGAGTGACGATACTAAACACTGTTGTACTACAAACCCCAAGAGTCACAATAGAAAAACACTGTTGGACTGCAAACCCTACTATTCAAAATAGTAAATACTGCTGGACTACAAACCCCATGAGTCATAATAGCAAACAGTTGGACTACAAACTGCATGAGTAGCAATAGTAAACACTGTTGGACTACAAAGCCCATGATTCACGGTAACAAACACTGCTGGGAACTAAAAACCACATAAGTCACACAATAGTAAACACTGTTGGACTACAAAGCCCATGATTCATAGTAGCGAACACTGTTGGGAACTACAAACCGCATAAGTCACATTAGTAAACACTATTGGACTACAAACCCTATGATTCACAATAGGAAATACTGTTGGACTACAAACCCTATTATTCAAAATAGTAAATACTGCTGGACTACAAACCCCATGAGTCACAATAGCAAACAGTTGGACTACAAACCACATGAGTAGCAATAGTATACACTGTTGGACTACAAACCCCATGATTCACAATAGCAAACAGTTGGACTTCAAACAGCATGAGTAGCAATAGTATACACTGTTGGACTACAAACCCCATGATTCACAATAGCAAACACTGTTGGACTACAAACTCTATTATTCAAAAGAGTAATATTGTTGGAATACAAACCCATTGATTCACAACAGCAAACAGACTACAAACTGCATGAGTAGCAATAGCAAATACTGTTGGACAACAAAACCCATGATTCACAATAAGAAACACAGCTGGACTGCAAACCCCATAAGTCACAATAGCAAACACTGCTGGACTACAAACCCTATTTTTCAAAACAGAAAATACTGTTGGACTACAAATCCCATGATTCACAATAGCAAACACTGTTGAACTACAAACTCCATGAGTCATAATAACAATCACTGTTGGACTACAAATCCCATGATTCAAAATAGCAAACACTGTTGGACTACAAATCCCATGCTTCCTATAATTACTCATTTTGGTAGGGCTGATGGATACTATAGTCCAGGAGTGGGTAATGCTGGGTGCTGCAGTCACTGGGGATGCCCCAAGTAGCCTTCCTCCCTAATTAGCATGCGGTGCCCCGCCCCCTTGCAGAAGCCACGCCCGTTTATGCTAATGAGCCGACTCACCTGCTCTATCGCCAGCTGCACTTCGGGCGCCAGCTGCAAGGCGGCCTCCAGCTCGTCCGCCAAGTCCAGCTCGTCGTCCTCCATGGCAAGCAGAGCAGCCACAGCCCCTGACTCCGCTTCACAGGGAACACTTCCGGGAACAGCAGCATTCTGGGATACTGGAGGACCAAGAAGGGGCAGCCAATGAGCGCGGAGTGGGCGGGGAAGGGGGAAAGAAGGCGGGCTGCGGGAAGCCCCGCCCACTCCTGGCCACACCCCTTTCCTTGCGGGCGGGGGAGCTGCTCTTGAGTTCAGGATGTAAACAAAAGGAAGGAAATGGAATCAAAGGGAAATGATTCTGATCCACTTTGAAACTCAGTTAGAAGAAGGGCGATGAGGGTGCCATAGATAATCATTGTATATTATATATTACATGTAATAATACTAATAATTTTATGGTATAGTGGTATAGTACAATATAGGAATATATAATACTAATATTGTGCTGTGCTAATAATAATATTATGCTGTGCTAATATAATACGAGGGTTGAATGAAAAGTAATGCCTCCACCTTCGTAACTCTGCAACAGATGTCAGTACTGGTATGCGGCAGGTACTGGCTTGTTCAATAGACTCTCCTCTACAGTTCCGTTTTGGCGGGAAGCCTTAGCATTGAATGGTTGTGTGGTTAAAGTGCAAAGTATGGAACCCTGCGCAGACAGTCGGTCAAAAGTAATGGCTCCACCTTCGTAACTCCTCAACAGATGGCAGTACTGGTATGCGGTAGGTACTGGCTTGTTCAATAGACTCTCCTCTACAGTTCCATTTTGGAGGAAATCCTTAGCATCGAAAGGTTGTGTTGTTAAAGTGCGAAGTATGGAACCCTGCACAGATGGTCGATCAATGCGGCTTAAGCAACGTGCAGTCATTGAATTCTTGACAGCAGAAGGTGTCACCTCAATATCTTTAAACTTACTCGCCCAACGACGCACATTACTCACATCAATAGCCTGCATTCTCTGATGAATCTCTTTTGGGGTGACACCTTCTGCTGGATATTGATGTGAGTAATGTGTGTCGTTGGGTGAGTAAGTTTAAAGATATTGAGGTGACACCTGTTGTCAAGAATTCAATGACTGCATGTTGCTCAAGCCACATTGATCGACCATCTGTGCAGGGTTCCATACTTCACACACTAACAACAAAACCATTCAATGCTAAGGCTTCCCGCCAAAATGGAACTGTAGAGGAGAGCCTACTGAACAAGCCAGTACCTGCCACATACCAGTACTGCCATCTGTTGAGGAATCACGAAGTTGGAGGCATTACTTTTCATTCAACCCTCATACAAAATATGACCCTTTAGCCATCTTCATGTTTTGGATTTCTATGACCCAAATTCCCTTTTCTAAGACCAAAATGTTTGGAGACAACTAGAAACCATCTCAAGATGCTTGAAGAAAGGGTTGCTCTATTCCAAAGACCAATACATTTTGGCCAGTATTCAAGTCCAATAGTAATAGTCTGAGAGTTTAATTGGTTTGAAGGCATCTGACCCAGGGAATTGTTGAAACTAGATTCTAAATAGGCCCCGAGGAAGGCCATGAGACTGTACGCAAGGTGGAATGGGTTGGGATTTTTGTGAGGAAAACAATTAAGCAGCCATCGTTTGAGCATCTTGAGATGTTTCTCCAGGGTTTTCTACAGGTTTCATTAAGGGCTCCCCGCATACAAGTATGGAACCCTGTGCAGACGGCCAGTCAATATGACTTAAGCAAAGTGCAGTCATTGAATTCTTGACAGAAGAAGGTGTCACCCCAAAGGAGATTCCTCAGAGAATGGAAGCTGTTTCTGGTGATTGTGTTGATGTGAGTACTGTGCGTTGTTGGGCGAGTAAGTTTAAAGATGTTGAGATGACACCTTCTGCTATGAAGAATTAAATGACTGCACGTTGATGGTCTTTGTGACCCCTCTGAAACCCCCACGGGGATCCCAACCTCCAGGTTGAGAAACACTGGCCTAGACTAAAGACTTTGGCAGTCAATATCTCTGGCCCTCAGTGGCCATCAAGGGTCGACACTCCACGACCTCTTCAAGCTAGGGTACAAATAAGCATAATAATTATTATTATCTATATAAATAAAAATGTAATGTTCGTTTGTGCTACTCACAGAACTCAGAAATCACTGGGGCAATTGACACCAAATTTGGACACTATGTCCCTAACAACCCAATGTATGTTCTCCAGCCAAAAAAAACAACGAAAACAAAAGGCAGAAAGGACTTCTAAACTGCATGTCCACAAAGGAGAAACTGCATGTCTACCGAGACCCATGGCCACGCCACCCTCCTCCTCCTCGCGGGGAAACAGCTGGCCGTTAAAGCCAGGCGCACGTGCACAGCCACACACACACACACACACAAGCGAGTGGAGTGGAGGTGGAGGCTTGCCGCTTGCAGCCCCTTCTCTTCCCCTCCTGTGTCAGGAGAGCAGTCTCCTCCTCCTTTCCCTGTTGGAAAGTGCTAGCAGCAGCAACGGAGTGCTCCACACAAGGAAGGGGAAGAGGAGGGGAAGGGGAAGGGGGAGGAGGAGGCAAGGATGGTCCACGGTGCTTGAATGAAGGACCTTCCCTCCCTCCCTCCCTCCCTCCCTCCCTCCCTCCCTCCCCTTCTTTCTTCCCTTTCCTTTCCTTTCTTTCCTTTTCTTCTTTCCTTCTCCTTCCTTTCCTTCTTTCCCTCCTTCCCTTCCTTCCTGTCCCTCCTTCCTTTTTCCTTTCCTTCTTTTCCTTCCTCTCTCCCTCCCTTTCCTCCTTCTTTCCCTTTCTTCATTTCCTTCCCCTTCATTTCCTTCCCTCCCTCCTTTCTTCATCCCCCTCCTTTCTTTCCCTCCTTCCTTCCTTCCTCCTTCCTTCCTTCTCCTTCCTCCCTCCCTTCCTGTCCCTCCTTCTTTCTTTTCCTTCCTTCCCTTCTTTCCCTCCCTCCCTTCCTTTTTCCTTCCTTCCTTCCTGTCCCTCCTTCCTTCCTTCTTCCTTTCCTTCTTTCTATGTAAGATATAAATACAATATTAAATGGAAGGGACAGTCAAGAAGTAACGAGAGAAGGAGGGAAAGAGGGAAGGAAGGAAGGAGAGAAGCAGGGAGGGAAAGAAGAAGAAAGATAGAGAAGCAAGGAAGGAGAGAAGGAAATAAAAAAGTGAAAGGAAAAAGAGAGGGAAGGAAGGAGAGAAGGAACAAAAGATAGGGAAGGAAGGAGGATGGATGTAACCAAAGAGCAAAGAAAGGGAGGAAAGAAACAGATAGAGATGGAAGAAAGATGAGAGATAGGGAAAGAAAAAGAGGAAAGGAAGGAAAGAGGGAGGGAAGTTTGGCCACAGCAATGCATGGCGGGTACAGCTAGTAGTAATAATAATAATAATAATAATAATAATAATAATAATAATAATGTGGTGGCCATAAGGAGAAAAATAAAATAATTATAATTTAAAATGAAAATAATGAGTAGTAAGGCTTACCTGTCCGTTCTTGAGGGTGGGAAGTAGAGATTTTGGTAGAAGAGAAATTTAACAGATGACTTAGAAAACTTTTAGGCTGGCTCTATCTTAAGTCAATATTTGAAGGAGCCAAGGCTAAAGGCTGAAGGCTGAGGTAGGAAACTTGGCTCATGAGTTAAATCGATATTATTGATTCGAAAACTAACATCTAAAGGTCATGTAGTAGTAGCGCCACCTCCTGTCTGGTTGATGAAAATAGCAGGTAATTTCATACCCCTTTTTAAATGATCAACTGAGGAAAATAATGTATTGTGAAAGTAATTACAGGAGAATTAATAAGGGAAATGCATGCTTCGAATAAATTAAAGATACATATATGAAGACATATGTATAAAGAGAAATATATGAAGTTATGATTCATTCTAAAGATTACGTAAGTCATCTGGGAAAGTGGCTGGTCAGCTGATGAAAGGGGAGCAGTGGAAATTATAGTATCTTGCCAACAATTGTTCTTGGCCTCGGTTCCTCGAGGACAAATTGATATTGATTAGATTGTGTAAATGTCAAGACCCATATGCGCATGTGTAAACCTGAGAATTTATGCTATAAATGCTGGAGCAAATCTGACTTCCAATGTGTGTCAGATATTGTTTTCTGAACACCCTGTCAAGCTTGATAGAATTAAAGGCCTGGAATCAGTTGCTGTCTCCTTTCTCTTCCTTCCTGATTGTGCTCATCTGATCTCGGGTAACGAATCTTCCGCAACAACAATAATAATAATAATAATAATAATAATAATAATAGACCGACTGGCCAAGGGCCGCCGCTGGTTAAACCGCTGAGCTGCTGAACTTGCTGACCAATAGGTTGGCAGTTCAATCCGGGAGCAGAATCTGACTTATTTATTTATTTACTAGTGGTCCCCTGCCAGGCATCACTGTGGCCCAATCTGGTGATCTGGAAAATAAAGTGAGGAGAAAGTGTTGGTTTCTAATCTATGTAATTCCTTTATGCTTGTGGGTAAACAGTATTTCTTGCTATTTCTTTGTCAGTGTTGATGTGGAGATTGTCTGGTTTGCCTACTCTGGAACAGGCAGGATATCATAGTCCTTCTTTAGGGGTCCCTTTCAAATCTATGATACTATATCTGTCATATACATATGTGTGTGTGAATCATATCTTTCTATCTGTATCTATGGCTGGATGGCTCTTTGTCAGGAAGGCTTTGGTTATGTTTCCTTGCCCTGGTGAAGGGAGTTGGACTGGATGGCCTTAAGGCACCATTTCTCAACCTGGGGGTTGAGACCCCTGGGGGGTCGCGAAAGGGTAGCCAAAGACCACCAGAAAACACAGTATATTCTGTTGGTCATGGGGGTTCTGTGTACCAAGTCTAGCCCGATTCCACTGTTGGGTTCAGAATACTCTTTGATTGTAGGTGAACTATAAATCCCAGCAACTACAACTCCCAAATGTCAAGATCTATTTTCCCCAAACTCCATCTATGATCATATTTGTGCCAAGTTTGGTCTAGAGCCTTCATTGTTTGACTCCACAGTACTCTGTGGGTGCAGGTAAACTATAACTCCAAAACTCAAGGTCAGTGCCCACCAACCCCTTCCAGTATTTCCTGTGTGCCAAGTTTGGTTTTATTCCATTGTTGGTGGAGTTCAGAATGCTCTTTGATTGTAGGTTAACTATAAATCCCAGCAACTACAACTCCCAAATGACAAAATTTTTTGAGTGATGGTCACTCATTGGGTTGTTAGGTGTATTGTGTCCAAATATGGTGTGAAATCGCCCAGTGGTTTTTGAGTTTTGTTAATCCCACAAATGAACATTACATTTTAATTTATATAAAACAAGAGCCACAATGTAGCTTTAGGATGTTTCAAAATGTGGAACTGGATAGGAAAATGATGCCCAGGCGCATGGGATTTACTCTTCCTTTGGCTTCCCTATACTGTTATTCTGCTAACCTTTACTTAGTTTCCTGTGAACCACCACCTCCTCCTGAGAAAAATGTATAATATCACAAAGGACAACCACCTCACCCACCTCATAGGAAACCTGCTACAAAACAGGAGCTTTTTTGCTGAGTTCCAGGGCCAGAGAAGCAGATGGCGGAAACAGAAGAACGGCCTGCCTCAGGGGAGCGTGCTTGCTCCATCCATGTTCAACATCTACACAAATGACCAGCCACTGCCAGAAGGGACAGAGAGTTTCATCTATGCTGATGATCGTGCCATCACCGCTCAAGCAGGGAGCTTTGAGATGGTTGAACAGAAGCTCTCCGAAGCTCTAGGTGCTCTAACTGCCTATTACAGGGAAAACCAGCTGATCCCTAATCCATCTAAAACACAGACATGCACTTTTCACCTTAGGAACAGATGGGCATCCCGAGCTCTGAGTATTACCTGGGAAATAATCCCACTGGAGCATTGCAGCACACCCAGGTGCCTGGGAGTCACTCTGGACCGTGCTCTGACCTACAAGAAGCACTGCCTGAACATCAAGCAAAAAGTGGGCGCTAGAAACAACATCATACGAAAGCTGACTGGCACAACCTGGGGATCACAACCAGACACAGTGAAGACATCTGCCCTTGCGCTGTGCTACTCTGCTGCTGAGTATGCATGCCCAGTGTGGAACACATCTCACCACACTAAAACAGTGGATGTGGCTCTTAATGAGACATGCATTATCACAGGGTGTCTGCCCTACACCACTGGAGAAATTACACTGTTTAGCCAGTATTGCACCACCTGACATCCGCCGGGAAGTAGCAGCCAATAGTGAAAGGACCAAGGCAGTGACATCTCCAGCTCATCCCTTGTTTGGGTATCAGCCAGCACGTCAACGACTTAAATCAAGAAATAGTTTTCTAAGATCTACAGAGACACTCACTGGAACACCTCAGCAAGCGAGAGTCCAAAAGTGGCAGGCTCAAACCCAGAACCTCAATCCGTGGGTGATACCAAATGAGAGACTCTCCCCTGGGCACACAGAAGACTGGGCGACTTGGAAGGCGCTGAACAGACTGCGCTCTGGCACCACGAGATGCAGAGCCAACCTCAAGAAATGGGGCCACAAAGTGGAATCCTCGACATGCGAGTGTGGAGAAGAGCAAACACAGACCACCTGCTGCAATGCAACCTGAGCCCTGCTACATGCACAATGCAGGACCTTCTTGCGGCAACACCAGAGGCACTCCAAGTGGCCAGATACTGGTCAAAGGACATTTAATCAACTACCAAGCTTGCAAATTCTGTGGTTTTTTTATCTGTTTGTTTGTTTTGTTCTGTTAGAAATGTAATACAATGGTCTGGTTGCTGATGCCATGAGGAAGAACTTCCTGACTGTCAGAGCCGTTCAGCAGAGGAACTCTCTGCCCCGGAGTGTGGTGGAGGCTCCTTTTTTGGAAGCTTTTAAGCAGAGGCTGGATGGCCATTTGTCAGGGGTGATTTGAATGCAATATTCCTGCTTCTTGGCAGGGGGTTGGACTGGATGGCCCATGAGGTCTCTTCCAACTCTTTGATTCTATGATTCTATGATAAATAATACTTGGGTTCATTGTCTTCTACTTGGCGGGATTCGCTTTCTTTGGAGGCCTTTAAAGAGCAATCTGTGGAATATTTTCAGGGCATTGAACTAAATGGCCACTACGTCCCCTTCTTTCTTGGTGTGTTCCTCGAATTCAATGCTTTGCTTCTCACAACAGTCCAGAAAACCAGAAATATCCGTTGATATAAACAGATTTGGTGCATTTATTCGAAAAGTTGCATAGTAGAGAAAGACAGACGGAGCTCTGATTCAAATATATAATCCGAGTTTGAATAAACAAATAATGGCCATGTTCTAGAAGCATTCTCTCCTGACATTTCGCCTCCATAGATGCTTGCCATAGATGCAGGTGAAACGTCAGGAGAGAATGCTTCTAGAACATGGCCATATAGTCCGAAAAACCCACAACAACCCAATTTTGAAATGCTTTCAAAGCTTTCAGAGATCACAAATTCCCTCTGTGACATTCTGACTGAATCAACTCTCTCTGCGATATTCTGAAGCCAGCAGAGGGTGCTGGAAACCATGTTATGGAACTTGTAGTGCAACAAGTTCTAATAAGGAAAATGAGAAGAGGGGGAGTTGGGCAGGAAAGGTGTATAAAAGGAAGTGGTGGTGGGAAAACGTCAGGAGTGCAATATATCCATTTCAAAGCAAGCCTGATTGTGAGTGGTTATTTAATATTGCTATTTAGATCCTACAGTCTGATAGATGGATAGTAAACATTAGCAACATCTTTCCGTCTCAGAACGAAATTCAATTTTGGGAAAGAGGGTATAATATTGGCAAAGTGAAGGCAAAACTTGACAACGGTCAATCACAGCAACAGAATTTTTGTGCAACTCAAGAAATGCTGGTCAGTGTGACATCGCCCTCCACTTCGAGCTGATTTATCTGCTGAAGATTAGGAATACGATAGCTGTAATCAAACAAGTGTTGCCCATTCACAGCGATTTTGAAGCCACGGGCTTCACAGAGAATCCACATCTGTAAAAAAGAAGGGAAATCATTATTATTCTCATCCCGTCAGAGGGAAATTGGAAGGGCAATTTCCTACATCCGGAAAGCACTGTGAACCCAAACACCAATGGATTAGAACCAAACTTGTGAGGGGTTTGGGGGGAACTGATCTTCCTTTATGGAAGTTGTAGTTCACCCACAACCAGCGAAACGGTGATCCCCACCAATGATGGGCCTGGACCAAATTTGGCACACAGAACACTCATAAATAACTCAACCTACTGGAGGGGTTTGAGGGGACTAGCTCACATAGTGGGAGTTGTAGTTTACCCTGCAGCCAGAGAGCACACTGAACCCCACCGATGATGCATCTAGAGCAAACTTGCCCAACATAACAAACTTTAAGTACTGATGGAGTTTCAGGGAGTTAACCTGGCATGATGTGAGTTGTAGTTCGCCCACAACCTTATGCATTTTATACTGTTAAAAATTGACTTTTTCTAATAACCTGGGCAATGCCAGGAACTCAAGCTACTCTCTCTCTCTCTCTGTATGTATGTATATGTATATGTACAACTGCACCAGGAGCTCGAATTTTGTTTGCTTTGCATTTAATGTTTGTTATAGTCCTAAGTTTCAGGGACTCAGCAGATAGGTGGCTTCTTTTGGCTGCAATCATAGGGCAAGCCACCTGTCAATTATAGTTAGGTTCCCTGGTCCCGCCCCCTTTTTGGGTTTTTGGAGGGAATAGGAGCCATTTGGGGTTCAGTCCACACAGAGCAGCTTTCCATGCAGGACACAATACCAAGAGCTCCTGTAGAAAGCTTTGTCTTCTACAGCTTGGCCGGGTTTATACAGCCCACAGCTTGGCCGAGGGTCATACAGCCTTACAGCTCCTTTGCTGAGGGACTTCAGCCAGCCATCACTGAAACCTGAACTCCTTTTTCCCTGGAAATCTACAAAGTTCTGCTTGGTAAGGGTCACTCGCGGAAGCCAGACACAGTTGGTACCGGGTGCAGGGGCTCCACGCCAACAGAGGTAAATAAAGACTGATTAGAAGTTAAGGATTTCCCCACTAGTTAAAATACCAGTCATGAAGATAGTGCCTGTTCCCTGTGGACAAGATTGAAAGAGCCAATAGACTGTTAAGAAAGCTTTAAATTACCTGTTTGTTTTCATCAATAAAGAACTTTGTTGAACCTTTAAGCAATCTAAAGACTCTGTTTTAAGGAAATCCAAAGCCTTTAATCTGAGGCAGCCCCGGCATCCCATTGGGCACACAGAATTTATGTCCTGTCTACAGTCTTATGCACAGGCGCAGTGTGAGACAGCACAGTGTGTGTATGTATATATATATACACACACACACATTAATAATTTGATCTCAAATGCTTTGAAGAAATGTGCCATCTAAGTATTCTGTTCAGCACATTGATCCACACGGTGTAAACCTCTGCTTAAAGAGAAGGACCAGTTGGAACCCTCTCCAGCCACTCTCACCATCCAGCCAAACCCAGCATGGGCTCCTGCTTACCGTGAAGGGCTGGCCACGGGACAAAGGCATCCCTCCGGGCAGATGGCGATCCTCTGTACCCCAAGACCCATTGATTTTAGAGTTTCGAACAATCACATTCTCATTGAACCGGGGGTTTATATGGAGAGCGGTGGTGTTACCCGCTTTCAGGTTGATGTGGAACCTGCATGCAAACAAAATGGGTTGACTGGATAATAACAACAACAACAACAACAACAACAACTTTATTTATATACTGCTCTATCTCCCTGAGGGGGACTCAAGGCGGTTTCCAAGTAACATATAAAGTAAACAGCGTAAAATAAAATTAACAAAACAATATAAGCATAACATCACAATAACACATGTATATTAAAAATAATCCTGCCTGTTCAGAGCAATTAAAAAGCCGGGCCGAGGCTAGTGCAAACTCAAAATATGAGGGGACCAGGAATTAAGTACAGTGCTGTAATAGGCTAACGGCAATAGCGGGTACGGGTCTGTGGCTGCTCATTTTCAGAGCCTATTAGAGGGATGGCAGGGGTAAAAAATAGGAAGTGCAAGACCATATTAAATAATGTTTGGGGCTGGACTAGAATTGGTCATTGTCAAAGGCTTGTTGAAAGCACCAGGTCTTCAAGCTCTAATGAAAGGAGGGGAGGGATGGGACTTGTCTTATTTCCCTTGGAAAGGCATTCCAGAGGCGGGGAGCCACTACCGAGAAGGCCCTCTCTCTCGTCCCCACCAACCATGCTTGTGACAATGGTGGGAGCGAGAGGAGGTCTACCGGGGGAGGGGGACAACAGCTTTGCGAACACTACTTTACCCACAATGTCAGGGAACGGCCAGAAGGCTAAATGGAGGGCTGCACAAACACAACGAGGACCAAGTACCAAAAGCACTATAATCCCAATTAAACAGCTCAGGGGAAGATCTCAGGGGCTCACATGTCTTTAAACTAATGCACAGAGCATGGGAAATAAACAAGACGTGCTGCAACTTTTAGCACAACACCACAAATATGATATCATAGGCATCACTGAAACCTGGTGGGATGACTCCTATCACTGGAATGTAGACATCGAGGACTATAACCTCTTTCACAGAAACCGAACAAAGGGGAGAGGAGGCGGAGTATGTCAAAAACTGTTATGCTGCAGAAGAGATGCAAGAGAGCAACCCGGGAAACCAGCTTGAAAGCATCTGGATAAGAATCAAGGGAACTGGGACTCATTGTAGGTGTCTACTACAGACCTCCAAGCCAGGAGGAAGAACTTGATGAAGTCTTCTGCCAACAGTTGACAAAACAGGCACAAAGAAGAGTAGTAGTAGTCATGGGCGATTTTAACTATCCCAATATTTGCTGGAAAACAAACTCGGCCAAGAGTACAAGGTCCAACAAATTCCTCGCTTGCCTTGCAGACAATTTCATGGTCCAGAAGGTAGAAGAGGCAACAAGGGGGTTGGCTACTCTTGATCTCATCCTAACAAATGCGGAGGACCTGATCGAAGTTGTTTTAATAGGGCCGTTGTATGCTCCCTATAGTTTGCTCCAGTAAGGAGCCTGTACCAGGTGAAACTTCCGGGCCGTCTTCAAGGGAAAGCCCTATGTAGAGCGCATTGCAGTAGTCCAGTCTAGATGAAACCAAGTCGTGGACCACGCTGGCCAAGTCAGACTTCACAAGGTATGGTTGTAGCTAGAGCACAAGTTTGAGTTGTGCAAAGGCCCTCCCAGCCACCACCGACACCTTGTAAGCCGCTCTGAGTCCACTTCGGTGTGAGAAGGGTGGCATATCAATTACAACAGCACAACAACAGAGAGGAAACAAACAAAGACATCTATTCACCACTCAACAAAAGTTTGCTCTAGGCAATGTCAGGCCATTATATGCTAATCAAGGTGGTCAGTTGAAACATTCACACCTAGCTCCAGCAGACAAGAGTCCTTTGTCCCACCCTGGTCATTCCACAGATATATAAACCCATTTTCCTAGTTCCAACAGACCTCACTACCTCTGAGGATGCTTGCCATAGATGCAGGCGAAACGTCAGGAGAGAATGCCTCTAGACTATGGCCATATAGCCCGAAAAAACCTACAACAACCCAGTAGCATATCAATGTCGTAAATAAATAAATAATAATAATAATAATAATAATAATAATAATAATCAAGTCATAGAAATATTGTGTTTGGAATAGCATTCAGCTACACTATTTCGTTCTAAAAACAACAAAAAAATCTGTTCTAACATTATCAAAGTAGCCAAAGGTATATCGATCTCCATCTGTAAACTAATTTTTGTGATTTACCTGGTGGCGTTCGGCAACACTGTCCCGGAGATTATAACAGATCTGGATGGGGAAAGGCCTCCATAGATTTGACCACGATATGGCACAGACTGGAAAGAAAGGAAACGGCTCAAATTCGTGTGGTAACAACAACATTGGGTTTGCAACCCTCTTTTTGTTTCAGTTGCCCCCCCCCCCCAATCTTCCCCAAGAGCCCAAATTGGGCCAAATTGATGAAATGTGCCTCAAGAGCAAGCTCAACCAGGGACTCTACACAGCCGTGTACTCTCTCCTTTCACTTTCTTGCTAAGCCCCAACTATGTAACCAATTCCCCAATAAAGATTAATAAAATTGCAACTTATAACTCTCTAGCTTGATACTTTGTGTCTCTTCTTTGCCTGAAACTATCTAAACGTGTGAAACTAACCTTTTCCAGGCCGCGGGAGACTGCAAGCGTCCCGGGGAGGCCGAATCTGCGCTCCTCCAAACCGCGGATACGGAAACCCCCAGGGGGGCCCGTATCCGCAAGATGGCGAATCGCCTCTATTTTGATGGCATATTTTTCCTAGCTTAATTCTAACACTATCTGCTATCTCGCTTTTTGCATTTCGGGCTTCTACGCCCGGGGAATAACCTTTCAAGTTTTAAGAATATAATTTCAAGAAACAGCTGATTGTCAAAAGACCGGCCTCGCTGCTGCTGCGCTGCTGCTGCCTTTCACCATTTCATCGCCTCTGCCAAGCCCCTGCCCTGGAGACTCGATGTGGTTACCCCATGAGGCTTTCAGGGAAGAGCCTGGCCTTGGGGTCAGGCTTCTCTGAGCTCGCCAAAGTAGCGATCCCTCTTTGGTGAGGTCCCAGGGTCTCTCCTCCTGGGGCAGACCCTTCTAAAGTTCCTTCAACAGTAGGGCTCTGGGAAGGTGCGTAAAATTACTGCCACCAATTTGCGATGTCTATCCCACCTTTGACACCAAACTTGCGAAGTCTGCACACACCAATTGTACAATTGTGCTAATTGCGAAGGTGCTGCAATTCCAACAACAGACAGGGTATAGGGTTTTAACTTTAAAGAACCCACCCTCTGTCACCAATTGTAAAGACTGTTCTTAAATTCTGCCACCAGTTATACAGGTGTGGATGGTTATGGATGTAAATAAGGTAACTGCCACCAACGTAAGGCAATGTCGATGAGAACTGGCTCCCCAGACGCAGATAAATGGAGATGACTCGGTCTTCAACAAAAGTTAGTAAGTTTATTTTGTACAAAGCATATGGTTGCAGGCTGTTAAATAACTTGGAATTACTTTGAATAACTTATAGAACTTGGAATGTAACTTGGTTTGCAACACAGTTCTTTCTTCTCGATGACACAACTTATGATGGACTTTTACTGTGGTGAAGCACTTTCTTAAACAATGTTTCCTGATGTGAATAGCCTTCTAATTTGATCCTTCTTGAACAAATCCTAGATCCCTAGTTCTTTCCTAACTAGTGATCTAAACAAGCTTCCCTTAGTCCTCTCTGACTAATGAAACTATTCAGGTTTCTCCCTTCAGCCTTCCTAGACTGAAGAAACCTCTGGCTGTTCACACACACTGCTTCTCTACTCTCCACTCTCCTCTCTCAACTGCTAACTCCGACGACTAACTCTAAACTGAACTGCTTCTTTCAAAGACGCAGATAACATTCTCTTGCTAGGCTCCGCCCACTTCTCACTCTCTCCTGCCTGGTCTCCTTGGCAACGCCACTGTGGATACAACCAGTTAGCTCTAGCTTCAGCTACTGTTACCAACACGAATATATTCTAACTGTTAAACATATACACAGTTTCAATAACTTCTGTACATGTCTCAGGTAAAAGGAACATGGTCGCAGATGCATTGTCCAGGGCATCTTAAGAATTAAAGGTTTGTATATGATCCATAATATGCATTTAACCATAATATGTTTATATTTCAGGAATATTGTTATGTATATATTGTTATGCAACTTTTTAGAATTATTTTTGCCCATTCTGGGACTCCAAATGGCCAAAAATAATCTTTTTTGGGTGGAAGGTGTACAGAAGTCATTGATACTGTGTATATGTTTATCCCTGTCAAGGTTCAAGATACTTACATAAATGTTGGATGGAAAGCCTGATCCAGGTGGAAAGGTACCTCCTTGCTATGAACAGGAAAGGGGAAAAAGTTTTGATTGCTGAAATACAATGATCCAAACTGTAGAGAAAGATATACAAACTGAAAAGCTTCTTAAACTAAGAAAACACATTTTTAGGAATCTCTAAAAACCTCTAAAATCAGGACAGTAAATAAAGAACAACACTCAAAAAACAGGAGAATTCCAGACAGAAGTAATCAGGGCCAGTGAATGCCTCCCAACAAAGGATTTCCCCAGGCAGGAAGCAGCCAGGCTTGGAAGCTGCAAAGCTAATCAAGGTGGCCAATAGCAATATTCACACTTGCCTCCAACAAACAAGAGTTCTTTCTCCCACCCTTTACATTCCACCGATATATAAAAGCCTCACTTGCCTAGTTTCAATGAGACCTCACAACCCCTGAGGATGCCTGCCATAGTTGTGGGCAAAATGTCAGGAGAGAATGCTTCTGGAAAAATGGAAAACTCACAGTTTCATTCACCATGGGGTGATAGTATGATAGCTGGGTCCGGAAACTCCGAGTGTTAGGGAGATGCCGCAAAAGCGGCTGTGAATAAGGGAAAAGAGGGGGCGGAGTGAGAGCGAAGGAAGGATAGAAAAGAGGGGGCACTTAGGGGGTAAGGGTTAGGGCAAGGTTTAGGGTTTGGGTTTGCGTTTATGGTTATGGTACGGTTTAGGGTTAGGGTAAGGTTTAGGGCAGGGGTCCACAAACTTTTTAAACAGAGGGCCAGGTCACAGTCCCTCAAACTGTTGGAGGGCTGGATTATCATTTGAAAAAAAAATGAATGAATTCCTATGCCCACTGCACATATCTTATTCGTAGTGCAAAAATCACTTAAAAACAATACAATAATTAAAATTTTAACAAATATAAACTTATTAGTATTTTAATGGGAAGTGTCAGCCTGATTTTGGCTGTTGAAATAGGATTGTTGTTGTGTGCTTTCAAGTTGTTTCAGACTTATGTTGACCCTGAACGAGGGTCGGGTAAATGACCTTGGAGGGCTGTATCTGGCCCCCAGACCTTAGTTTGAGGAACCCTGGTTTAGGGTTTGGGTTAGCGTAAGGGTAGGGTAAGGGTTAGGGGTTACGGTTAGGGTACGGTTTAGAGTTACGGTAAGGGTTAAGGTTTGGTTTAGCATAAGGTTAGGGTTAGGGGTTAGGGTTTGGGTAAGGGATAGGGGTTACGGTTTTTACGGTTAAAGTAAGGGTTAGGGTAAGGTTTAGGGTTTGGTTAGCATAAGGGTAGGGTAAGTGTTAGGGTTAGCGGTTAGGGTTTGGTTTAGGGTAAGTGTAGGATAAGGGTTAGGGGTTACGGTCAGGGTACAGTTTAGGGTTAGGGTAAGGGTAGGGTAAGGGTTAGGGGTTATGGTTAGGGTACAGTTTAGGGTTCGGGTAAGGGGTAAGGTAAGGTTTAGGGTTTGGATTTGGGTTAGCGTAAGGGTAGGGTAAGGATTAGGGTTAGGGTTAGGGTTTGGGGTAGCATAAGGGTAGGGTAAGGGTTAGGGTTTGGGTAAGGGTAGGGTAAGGGTTAGGGGTTACAGTTTTTACTGTTAAGGTAAGGGTTAGGGTAAGGTTTAGGGTTTGGGTTAGCGTAAGGGTAGGGTAAGTGTTAGGGTTAGCAGTTAGGGTTTGGGTTAGGATAAGTGTAGGGTAAAGGTTAGGGTTTATGGTTAGGGTACAGTTTAGGGTTAGGGTAAGGGTAGGGTTAGGGGTTAGGGTTTGGGTTAGGGTAGGGTAAGGGTTAGGGGTTATGGTTAGGGTACGGTTTAGGGTAAGGTTTAGGGTTAGGGTTAGGGGTTATGGTTAGGGTACGGTTTAGGGTAAGGTTTAGAGTTTGGGTTTGGGTTAGCGTAAAGGTAGGGTAAGGGTTAGGGTTAGGGGTTAGGGTACAGTTTAGGGTTAGGGTAAGGTTTAGGGTTTGGGTTAGCATAAGGGTAGGGTAAGGGTTAGGGTTAGGGTAAGGTTTAGGGTTAGGGTAAGGTTTAGGGTTATGGTTAGGGTAAGGGGTTAGGTTTAGGTTTACGGTATGGTTCAGGGTTAGGGTAAGGATTACGGTAAGGGTTTCACCATTAAAGAACTCTTACATTCCTTCTATATTATCTGTCTCCAACCTGGCTTATAAATCCCTCTTGCGCAAACCGCACTTCCGAAGGAGCGATGCAGCATCTCCGTCACACTCAGAGCTTCTGGACCCAGCTATCATACTATGACCCACCATGGCTCAGGAGAACTGAAGCAGCTTCTCAAGACACAAATGGATTCTGTGACTTACTGGAAAAGCAGGTGGAAAACCTGGAGCAGATGGGAAACCAGGAGCAGACGGGAAACCTGGAGCAGACGGGAAACTTGGAGCAGATGGAAAAGCTGGAGTAGGTGGGAAACCTGGATTGGTCTGGAAGGAAAAGAAACTCTGGTAACAGCCTCCTTGAGGTCAGCCACTAGATAGCAGCACACTGAAGAAGAGTATTTTACGAATTCTAATATTGTTTGCAAAGCCTTGTCAAGCATCCAAGAGGGCACTGATGCCCTTGAGCATAACTGTCCACATTGCACTCAGATTCAACACCCATAAATGCCCCGCCACAAAAGAAAACTCTGAAATCAGCTATAACTCCCACCACTCAAGAGACGCCAAAGGCCCTCCCTCCAATGACATTGCAGGTTATAGTGAGTGCCGTAAACATGTCCAAGAGCCCTGACAATGTCCTCCACAGATCCAATACCGCCCACCACCAAAGTGAAGATTTCCATATGGGAACAATTTCATCCTAGATGTGTTTCCTCCACCACAGACATCCCAGTGTTTTGTGATTGGTATGGAATTTGCATAACCCCGCCCATTGCCTCTCCCTTAACCCTTTCCTACGCTTTTCTATGGCACACAACAGAGGAATTGATCACTGAACATACTAGAGAAGTTTGGGAAGAATTCACCATGATTTATAGGAGTTGTGGGTCCTGGGATGTATAGTTCACCTGAAATCTAAGAGCACTCTGAACTCAAACAACAATAGACCTGGAACTAACTTGGCACACTCCTTCTACTCCGCTCTTCTCACCCCGAAGGGGACTCAACAAAACATACTGGAGGTCTTCGGAGGGATTTATGGGAGTTGTAGTTTACCTACATCCAGAGCGCACTATGAACCCAAACAATGGTGGATCTGCACCAAACTTGGCATGCATACCCAATATGCCCACATTTGAGGGGAATTGGCCTGGGAATTTTGGAGTTGTAGGTACTGAGATTTATAGTTCACCTGCAATCAATGAGCACTCTGAACTCATTGAACTCGCTATACAGATCCTTTAAAAGTCAGCCTCAGAAAAAGAAAACCACACAAGTCTCCAAAGTATGCATCACAACACGTCTACAAATTATTATTATTATTATTATTATTATTATTATTATTATTATTATTATTATTATTATTATTATTATTATTATTATTATTATTATGGCCATTCCCTTTGCTGCCCTCTTGTGGACACAGGAATCTTGGAATCTTTGCACTTGCCTTGAGATTCTGATCTGTAATCCTTTGCTGCCATCAAGTGGCCAAATAGGGAAGTGCACCCTTGAGCCATGGAAGGCGCCTCTGTGCTGCCACCACGTGGACATTGTGGAAAACAGCACCTCCATATTATAAAGTAAAGTGTATTATATTTCCCAACAAAGAATAAAGAAGGGAAGGAGGGAGGAATGACAGGAGAAAGAGCAGCACACTGAACAGGCCCCAATTTTGAATATTGTGGGAGTTGTAGGTCACCCACAACCAGAGGAACGGTGACCTCCAGCGATAATGGATCTGGACCAGACTTGGCTCGCAAAACTCCCATGACTAAGTGAACCTACTGGAGGAGTTTGAGGGGACTGATTCACCATAGTGGGAGTTGTAGTTTACCCTACAGCCAGAGAACACAATAAACCCCACCAATGATGCATCTATAGCAATCCTGCCTGACATAACAAACTTAAAGTACTGATGGAGTTTCTCGGGTTCACCTGACATGATGTGAGTTGTAGTTCACCCACAAACTTATGTATTCGTACAATTAACAAACTGACTTTTTCAAATAACCCGGGCAACGCCGGGTACACAAGCTAGTAAGTCATAAGATACGAGGGTTGAATGAAAAGTAATGCCTCCACCTTCGTAACTACTCAACAGATGGCAGTACTGGTATGTTGCAGGTACTGGCTTGTTCAGTAGACTATCCTCTACAGTTCCATTTTGGCAGAAAGCCTTAGAATTGAAAGGTTGTGTTTATTTATTTATTTATTTATTTACTTCTTTTGTATACCGCATATATCAGCCTTACAGCGACTGTTGTTAAAAGTGAAAAAGTAATGGAACTGTAGAGGAGAGTCTACTGAACAAGCCAGTACCTGCCGCATACCAGTACTGCCATCTATTGAGGAGTTACGAAGGTGGAGGCATTACTTTTCACTTTAACAACACAATCGTTCAATGCTAAGGCTTCCTGCCGAAATGGAACTGTAGAGGAGAGTCTACTGAACAAGCCAGTACCTGCTGCATACTAGTACTGCTATCTGTTGAGGAATTACGAAGGTGGAGGCATTACTTTTCATTCAACTCTCATATTATATTAGCACAGCATAATATTAGTATTAGTACAGCATAATATTAGTAGTATATATATTACTAATGCCACAATTTTAGTATATAATGACTAATAATATTAGTATTAAGTCGCATTGACCGACTCTCTGTGCAGGGTTCCATTCTTCGCACTTTAACAACACAACGTTCAATGCTAAGGCTTCCTGCCAAAATGGAACTGTAGAGGAGAGTCTACTGAACAAGCCAGTACCTGCCGCATACAAGTACTGCCATCTATTGAGCAGTTACGAAGGTGGAGGCATTACTTTTCATTCAACCCTTGTACAAAGAACAGACCCCCAAAACCCTGCTACGTACAGGAGGGCCTTGGAAGTTAATGGATGCCACTTCAATGCCTCCGGAGACGGAGATGGCCTCCACTCTGGACAGGGGGATCCGATGTAGGAACTCGAAGAAATGCCTGCCATCCACAGCAACCTGAAATTGACAGAAACAGAGGTGATAATTGTTCAGCATCCACTAACACTTCCATAGTGGAACAAATCAGAATCTAATGAGAAAAAGAACTCAATCCTCTCTGTTTATGGTCAACCACCACTCAAACTTTCGTACAGTGGCCCTTATTTCTCAAGCCAGTAAGGTAATGCTCAAGATCCTGCAAGGAAGACTTCAGCAAGACATGGAGAGAGAGTTGCCAGATGTACACGCTGGGTTTAGGAAAGGCAGAGGAACGAGAGACCACGTTGCCAATATTTTTATTTTTATTTATTTATTTGACTTGTATACTGCCACTCCCAATTTGGCTCGGAGCAGTTTACAGCAGTAGATTAAAACAATACAAATTAACTTTAAAATACAATAAAAACAAGGACAGACATAGTCCCGAGTTATTCACCCATCGAAAGCTTGTCGGAAGAGAAAGGTTTTACAGGCTTTCCGAAAAGCAAGTAGGTCTCGGATGGTTCGGGTTTCAAATGGCAAGGCATTCCATAAATAAGGGGCCACAATCGAGAAGACTCTCTGCCTAGTTGAGGACAGATGATAAGTCCGGATGTTGGGGACTTCAAGCAAATTTTGGTCTTCAGACTGGAGTAATCTCTGGGGTTGGTAGGGGGATAAGCGGGCTCTCAGGTACACCGGCCCCAGACCATGTAAGGCCTTAAAGGTTAGTACCAGCACCTTGAAAGTAATCCGGTACTCAATCAGAAGCCAGTGCAGCTGTTGGAGAATTGGGGTGATACGACACCTCACTGGCACCCTAGCGAGAAGACGAGTTGCCGCATTTTGCACCAGCTTCAGTTTCCGGACCACTGACAAAGGAAGGCCAATGTAGAGGGCGCTACAGTAGTCAAGCCTCGAGATGACCGTAGCCAGGTCGTTCCTAGATAGGAAGGGAGCTAGTCACCTAGCCTGACATAGGTGGAAAAATGCAGATCTGCTCACAGCAGAGAAATTAGTCAGTGGCCGGAGAGCTACTGAGAAAACACTGAATCTTTTGGTGGAGATTCAGGGAATGTGTCTGTAGCCAGTGTGCTATAGGGAAAAACTGAATCTCTTAGAGATTCAGGGAATCAATTGGTGACCAAAGTGGTTGCAGAGAAGGACCCGGTACTATTTATAAAATAGTTCCTAGGCTGATATTGATCGTTGCCCGGCTTCCCTCATAGATAAGGTGGCAGTGGGTGCTTTACCACGTGCACCTTCACAGTTGGTGGTATTCAGTGGCATTGGGGCGGTCATCGTCATAGTTGGTGGCAGCAGTTTAATAACGGACAATCCTTCCTTCACAATTAGCCAAGTATATTCTGGAGGAAGGAAGACACCCATTTAATTTTTTTAAAAAAATATTCTTTATTGAAATTTTCATACAATAGAAAAATTAAAATGAAAGAAGAGACGAGAAGAAGAAGGAAGAAAAGAAAAGAAAAGAAAAGAAAAAAAAGAAAAAAGAAAAAAAACCACACACCAAATAAAAATTAAAGAGAAAAAGCTTTGACTCCCTGGTGTCTTCTTGGAATCTTTCTAGTCCATTCATTTCAATGTATATTTCTTCTATACTTCTTCTTTCCCTCTTTTTGTCGTACTTCAGTCTTTATTTGTTATTCTCAAATTACTATTTCCTTGTTCTTATTTTTCAAATAATCTGTAACTTCGCTCCAGTCCGTTTCTTTCCTGTTAATTTCTTTATTCTTCAGCAGTAAAAAGGTGAGTTTGTCTAAGTTCCTGATGTCTAGCATTTTCGTTATCCATTCCTCTTCACCCGGCGTGTCTTCTTGTCTCCACATCTTTGCGTAACACATTCTTGCGGCTGTTAGTGTCAGGAACAGGACTTTGTCTTTATCTTCCCCTAGGTTTTTCTCATACATCCCCAATAAGAATATTTCTGGTCTCAAGGGTAACTGTATTTTTAGCATTTTCTGAGTTTCCTTATGTATCTTTCTCCAGAATACTCTTGCCTTTTCACACGTCCACCATAGGTGGAAAAAGGATCCTTCTTTGCTTCTGCATTTCCAACACGCGGTGCTTGTATTATTATAGATTCTTCCCAATTTTTTGGGGGTCAAGTACCATCTTTGGGATATTTTAACCCAATTTTCTCTAAGTTCAATTGCATACGTAAACTTTAGTCTTCTCTTCCAAATCTCCTTCCATTCCTCTCTTCTGATATTTCTGTGTATATTTTCATTCCATCTTCTCATATAGTTTTTCTCTTCCTCTTTTTCCAGGTGCCAATCTAGTAGTTTTTTGTAGATCTTAGTAATTTGCTTTTTGTCCGTCTCCATTATTTTGTCCCAGAATTCATTACCTTTTGCAAAATCTAGCTTTTTATCAAGTTTAAATTTCTCTTTAATCTGCCAATAATGAAACCATGATATATTTTTATCCATTAATATTAGCTCCTGTTGTTCTTTCATTTCTTTCTCACCTTGTTTATCTTTTAAAATTTCTTTATATATGGGCCAATCCGTCCATCCTAAACATCTCCTTTGAGTCGCCTCGAGCGGTGAAATCCATAAGGGTGTTTTGTTGTACATTTTTGATTTGTATTTGTCCCAGACTTTTAGAATTGCAGATCTTGTAAAGTGATTCCCAAAGTTTTTTTCTTTTTCTTTCCCTTTATACCAAATATATTGGTGCCACCCCGCCCTCAGATCTATCCCCTCCAAAGTTAATATTTTTTTTTTCCTTAACATGGTCCAGTCTCTGGCCCAAGTTAGAGCACATGCTTCGAAGTATGTTTTTAAGTCTGGTGTTGCCAATCCACCTTTTTCTTTTTGTTCTATTAGATTTCTATAATGTATTCTTGATTTCTTATTATTCCAAATGTATTTCGTAATATCTCTATTCCAATTTTCGTAATATCTCTATTCACAGCAGAGACCTGGGCCTCCATTGTGAGCAGAAGGTCCAATAAGACACCAAGGCTTTTTACAGAAGGTGACGGACGTAGTGTCTCGCCATCCAGAGTAGGCAGCTGGATCTCCCTCCCACCCAGACGGCCCAGCCAAAGGATCTCCGTCTTCACTGGGTTCACCCTCAACCTGCTGGCATGTAACCATCCAGTAACGGCCTCAAGGCACTGATGGAAATTTTCGGGTACAGAGTCCGGCCGGCCCTCCATCCTCAGAATGAGCTGAGTGTCATCAGCGTACTGGTGGCACTCAAGCCCAAAGCTCCGCACCAGTCGGGCAAGCGGTCGCATATAGATGTTAAATAATAGAGGAGAGAGAATAGCTCCCTGCGGGACCCCACAAGTTAGCGGAAATCTCGGAAACCATCCCTCCCCTCACCACACGCTGTCTCCGATTCTGGAGGAAGGAAGACACCCATTTAAGGGGTATCCCCCTAACCCCAGTCATGACTAGGCGGTGGGTCAATAGATTGTGATCGACTGTATCAAATGCTGCTGTGAGGTCCAATAACACAAGCAATGCTGATCCGCCTTGATCCATCTGGCAGCAAAGCTGATCTGTGATGGCAACTAGCACTGTCTCCGTCCCGTGCCCCCTACGGAAGCTGGACTGGAAGGGATTGAGTCCGGCTGTGTCATTTAGGAACTGCTGCAACTGTTCCGCTGCTGCCCTCTCAACCACCTTGCCCAGAAATGGAAGGTTTGAGACTGGGCAGTAGCTAGAGGGAACCGTAATCCCTCCAGGCAAGATTTGACTAGCCAGGAGGGACACGGATCAAGGGAGCAGGTGGTCAGCCTAGTTGCGGTCATGATCCTATTGACAGCCTCTGCGTCCAGCGGGGTAAACCGGTCAAGGATAGGCCCAGCGAGTGGCCACGGAGTCTCAAGTTCACTTACTGTATCAATCATGGCAGGGAGATCCTGGCGGAGAAGAGAGATCTTGTCTGCGAAATAGCTCCGGAAAACCTCAGCAGGAGGGGCCAGATCATTATTGTTTGGGACAGAAGGGGTTGTTGTCAGGGATCTAATAATCTTAAATAATTGTGCTGGGTGTGAGCTCACAGACGCTATCAAGGAAGCATAATAAGATTTTTTGGCCTTCATTATCCGGATGCATGATGTGTTCTGCATACAAGTTCAATAGGTTGTGTATACAACCCTGCCGTACGCCTTTCCCCATCTTGAACCAGTCTGTTGTTCCATGAGAAGACAATAGGCCAACTTTTGAGTGGAAAAGAAAAAGACAACACAGGTTAACCCACAAACTGCATTTATCTTCTCAGTACCTTGAAGGAGCTGTTATTCACAAGGAACCGGATTTCAAACGGATGTCCTTTGCGGAAGGGCATTTCGTGCTTCCTTTGTTCATGTTGCCAATTTCCCCTTTCAAATGAATTCCCCACCACACAACCGTCGTCAAAGCGGGCGTTGAAATGGAAAGCAATGTCAGGCCTGGGTGAAGGGGCAGAGCCACACTGAAGGTCAATCTGGAATCTATAATAGAAAAAAAAATACAGTGAGTATTAAAAGTAGAGGTCAGCTGTGACCAACAGTGCTGTGGATTTCGAAGAGGAACAAATAGAGGATGACAGAGAGAAACATCCTGAGAGGAAGAAGGCACCTCAAGCAAACCTTTGTTGGGACTGCCTTCGGCCTGGAAATGTATGTCCTCACTGCAAAAGAAAAACCATGTGGATCCAGACTAGGTTTTTACAATTAACAAAGACAGACAGTACATAAACAAAGGTAAAGGATCTCCCCATCTTTTTCCACTTCCAGCATCTGAAGGCTGTGTGGGGCGAGGAAGGGAGACTATTTCCTTATTAATAAAAATAACCTCTTTACTGCCTTATACTGGTTCAGTTTCTTCTTTTATATTGGCTGGGACTTTCGGTGTGCTGTTTTATCTTTGTACTTTATATCACAGGCAATGAGACACTCTTGTGTATAACGAAGTAACACAGTTTATTTATAACTTCTGGCTCCAACGCTTGTGGTTACATTTGTGTTTTGTTGCAATCTTGAGGCTTACAGTCAGTATGATTTACTTGGTTTACTTTTCTGAATAGACTTTCAATGTTTCACATTCATAAACATGTTACTTGCTTTACACACACTTGGCAGAATTATATTCTGACTAAAGCAACACTGGCTTTCTTTATGTTCCTTAAAACTCTACCTATTCTTGGACTGCAACTCCCAGCAGTCCTTCTGATTGATCTACCTACCTACCTTCCTACCTATCTCCATCTAATCTATCTGGAGGATTGCTGGGAATTGCAGTCCAGAAATAGGAAATTGGGAATATGCAGGGATTGGTATGCTCTCAAAGAAATCCAAGGAGAAGAAAGCTTGCATCTTGGAAGCAGTGCATTTGGATCCTCCTCCTCTCCTAAAGGGCCTGGTCTAGGGGATGCTGGGAGCTGTAGTCCAGAAGAGAGTGTGGATATGCTATTGAGTGTTTTGTTTGTTTTGGGGGGGGGAGCCTTTTTGTGCATGTGCTGTAGCATGTTTTTGCTTTTTTGGGGGGGGGGGCTTTTGAAGCCTCTTTTGTTGTGTTTTTCAGTGTTTTTATGAGTGATGGTCACTCATTGGCCTGAGAGGTGTCTTGTGTCCCAATTTGGTGTCAATTAGTCCAGTGGTTTTTGAGTTATGCTAATCCCACAAACTAACATTACATTTTTATTTATATAGATTCTATTATTATTATTATTATTATTATTATTATTATTGTTATTATTATTATTATTATTGTATTATTTATATTATTATATATTTATTATTCTATTCTTCCTTCCCTTCATTTCCTCTATTTCTTTCCCTTCCTATTTCTCTTCTTTCTTCCATCTCTACCTGTTTCTTTCCCCCCTTCTTTGCTCTTTGGTTGCATCCTTCCTTCTCTCCTTCCTTCCTTCCTTCCCTGTCTTTTGTTCCTTTTCTCCTTCTTTCCCTCTCTTTTTCCCCTTTATTTCCTTCTTTAATTTGTATTATATAGTAATATTACATATATACACACACACACACATATAAGTAACATATTATATAGTAATCTATATAACAATATATAAAATATTGTATTTATATCTTACATAGAAAGAAGGAAAGGAAGAAGGAAGGAAGGAGGGAAAGAAGGGAAGGAAAAGAAAAAAGGAGGGAAAGGAAGGAGGGGGTGAAGAAAGGAGGGAGGGAAGGAAATGAAGGGGAAGGAAATGAAGAAAGGGAAAGAAGGAGGAAAGGAAGGGAGGGAAGGAAAAGAAGGAAAGGAAGGAAAGGAAGAAGAAAGGAGGGACAGGAAGGAAGGGAAGGAGGAAAAGAAAGAAAGGAAGGAGAAGGAAGGAGGGAGGGACAGGAAGGAAGGAGGAGGGGAGGAAAGGAAGGGAGGGACAGGGAGGGAGGGAGGAGAAGGAAGGAAGTAGGAAGGAATGAGGGAAAGAAAGGAGGAGGGTGAAGAAAGGAGGGAGGGAAGGAAATGAAGGGGAAGGAAATGAAGAAAGGGAAAGAAGGAGGAAAAAGGGAGGAGGAAAAGAAGGAAAGGAAGAAGGAGGAAGGAGGGACAGGAAGGAAGGGAAGGAGGGAAAAGAGGAGGGGGAAGAAAGGAGAAGGAAATGAAGGGAAGGAAATGAAGAAAGGGAAAGAAGGAGGAAAGAGGGAGGAGAAGGAAAGAAGAAGGAAGGAAGAAGAAGAAGAGGGAAGGAGGAAGGAAGGAGGGGGAAGAAAAGGAGGGAGGGAAGGAAATGAAGGGAAGAAATGAAGAAAGGGAAGAAGGAGGAAGGAGGGAGGGAGAAGGAAAGAGGAAAGGAAGAAGGAGAAGGAAAGGAGGGAGAAGGAAGGAAGGAGGGAAAGGAAGGAGGAAGGAGATGAAGAAAGGAGGGAGGAAGGAAATGAGGGGGGAAATTAAGAAAGGGAAAGAAGGAGGAAAGGAAGGGAGGAAAAAGGAAAGAAGGAAGGAAGGAAAGAAGAAAGGAGGAAGGAAGGAGGGAAGGGGGGAAAGGGAAGAAAGGAGGGAGGGAAGGAAATGAAGGGGAAGGAAATGAGAAAGAAAGAAGGAGGAAAGGAAGGGAGGAAGAAAAGGAAAGGAAGAAAGGAGAAGAAAGGAGGGAAGGAGGAAGGAGGGGGGAAAAGGAGGGGAAGAAAGGAGGGAGGGAAGGAAATGAAGGGGAAGGAAATGAAGAAAGGGAAAGAAGGAGGAAAGGAAGGAAAGGAAGAAGAAAGGAGGGACAGGAAGGAAGGGAAGGAGGGAAAGGGAGAAGGAAGGAGGGAGGGACAGGAAGGAAGGAGGAGGGGAGGAAAGAAAGGGGAAGGAAGGAATAAAAGGAAAGAAAGGGAGGGAGGAAAGAAGGGAAGGGAGTCCTTTCGGGTGGAGTGTGGCAGAGGCAGCTACCTCCTGTTGTGTGTGTGTGTGTTAAATGTGTGCTCGTGTTGCCGGAGACAGGCGAGCAGGTCAGACAGAAAGGAAAGAGTTAAAAAGAAATATCTGCAGAAAGTCCCTCCTCCACCCACCAGCCACTTCCAACAGGGAAAGGTAGTGGAGGAGGAGGAGGAGACCGCCCTCCTGGCAGAGCAGGGAAAGAGAAGGGGCTCCATGCGGCAAGCCTCCCCCTCCACTCCCATGGTGCCCACTCTCTTTATCTACCATTTGTATGAGTAAAAAATGTGTGGATGTGTGGGGGGGGGGAGCATGCACGCATGCCTGGATCCTCATGCTTTAACGGCCGGCTGTTTCCCCGCGAGGAGGAGGGGGGGGGCGTGGCTATGGTTCTCTTTGTAGACATGCAGCATCTCCTTTGTGGACATGCAGTTCAGAAGTGCTTTCTGCTTTTTGTTTTCGTGGTTTTTTGAGTGGAGAACATACATTGGGTTGTTAGGTGTATCGTGTCCAAATTGGGTGCCAATTGCCCCAGTGGTTTTTGAGTTCTGTGAATACCACAAACTAACTTTACATTTTTATTGCTATAGATTGATGAAGAAGATTGCACGTTTAGAGATATCATTTGTCCTTACTTCCTTGATGTTTTGGAAACAGCCTGTTTGGGGGAACCATAACGCAACCTTTTCCGCCCCACCAACCCTGGATGGACTGCTTACCTTTTACAGGAACGTTGAACACTTCCTGAAATCATCACCATCATCCCATCTCGAAGACCTCCATAAATGTGACCAGTAAAGGGAAGTGACTGGGGAGAGGCAAATAAAAAAATTATGAGTTACATAGGGTTCCTCCCTTGCTGGCCTGCCAAAGCCTTTCATTTGTGTTGCTGTGAATTTTCTAGGCTGTCTGGCCATGTTCCAGAAGCATTCTCTCCTGACATTTTGCCTACATCCTCAGAAGTTGTGAGGTTAAAACTGATGCACCAGTTGCGACAGTGCCTCAAGAAGCCTGACTTGGCCATGGTGGTCCACTCCATAGTTACAACCAGAATGGACTACTGCAATGCACTCTACGTTGGGCCGCCCTTGAAGATGGTTTGGAAATGGCAGTTAGTTCAAAGATTGGCTGCCAGATTTATATATATTACTAGCCGTCCCCTGCCACACGTTGCTGTGGCCCACTCTGGTGGTCATGGGGGTTCTGTGTGGGAGGTTTGGCCCAATTCTATTGGTGGGGTTCAGAATGCTCTATGATATGATTGTAGGTGAACTACAACTCCCAGCAACTACAACTCCCAAATGTCAAGATTATATTTCCCCCAAACTCCACCAGTGTTCACATTTGGGCATATTGAGTATTCGTGTAGAGTTTGCTCCAGATCCATCATTGTTTGAGTCCACACTGCTCTCTGGATGTAGGTGAACTACAACTCCAAAATCAAAGGACACTGCCCACTACACCCTTCCAGTATTTTCTGTTGGTCATGGGAGAACTGTGTGCTAAGTTTGGTTGAATTCCATCGTTGGTGGGGTTCAGAATGCTCTTTGATTGTAGGTGAACTATAAATCCCAGCAACTACAACTCCCAAATGATAAAATCAATTTTTTGAGTGAAGGACATACATTGGGTTGTTAGGTGTCTTGTGTCCAAATGTGGTGTCAATTTGTCCAGTGGTTTTTGAGTTCTGTTAATCCCACAAATGAACATTACATTTTTATTTATATAGATAGTGCGGTTGATATATCTGTGGAATAATGTCCACGGTGGGAGAAAGAAATAACTCTTGTCTGTGGGAGGCAAGTGTAAATGTTGCCAGCTTGATTAGCTTTGAATGGCCTTGCAGCTTCAAAGCCTGGCTGCTTCCTGTCTGGGGGAATCCTTTGCTGAGAAAATGCTTCTGAAACATGGCTATATAGCCCAGAAAACTCACAGCAATCCAGTGCTTCTGGCCATGAAAGCCTTAGAATCATAGAATCGTAGAGTTGGAAGAGACCTCGTTGGCCATCCAGTCCAACCCCATTCTGCCAAGAAGCAGGAAAATCCTATTCAAAGCACCCCCGACAAATGGCCATCCAGCCTCTGTTTAAAAGCCTACAGAGAAGGAGCCTCCACCATGCTCTGGGGCAGAGAGTTCCACTGCTGAACGGCTCTCACAGTCAGGAAGTTCTTCCTAATCATTGAATCCTAGAGTTGGAAGAGACCTCCTGGGCCATCCAGTCCAACCTAATTCTGCCAAGCAGGAAAATTGCATTCAAAGCACCCCCAACAGATGGCCATACAGCCTCTGTTTCAAAACCTCCATAGAAGGAGCCTGCACCACATTCCAGGGCAGAGAGTTCCACTGCTGAACAGCTCTCTTTACAGTCAGGAAGTTCTTCTGTGAGAGCTGTTCAGCAGTGGAACTCTCTGCCCTGGAGTGTGGTGGAAGCTCCTTCTTTGGAGGCTTTGAAGCAGAGGCTGGATGGCCATCTGTCGGGGGTGCTTTGAATGCAATTTTCCTGCTTCTTGGCAGAATGGAGTTGGACTGGATGGCCCGTCAGGTCTCTTCCAACTCTACAATTCTATGATTCTATGTTCATTCTATTTTCTGCTTCCCTGGAGACTAGGACGCGGAACAATGGCTTCAAACTACAAGGAAGGAGATTCCATCTGAACATTAGGAAGAACTTCCTGACTGTGAGAGCCGTTCAGCAGTGGAATTCTCTGCCCCGGAGTGTGGTGGAGGCTCCTTCTTTGGAAGCTTTTAAACAGAGGCTGGATGGCCATCTGTAGGGGTGCTTTGAATGCAATTTTCCTACTTCTTGACAGAATGGGGTTGGACTGGATGGCCCATGAGGTCTCTTCCAACTCTACAATTCTATTATTCTATGAGACCTCATGGGCCATCCAGCCCAGCTCCATTCTGTCAAGAAGCAGGAAAATTGCATTAAAATCACCCCCGACAGATGGCCATTCAGACTCTGTTTCAAAGCCTCCAAAGAAGGAGCCTCCACCACACTCCAGAGCAGAGAGTTCCACTGCTGAACGGCTCTCACAGTCAGGAGGTTCTTCCTTATGTTCAGATGGAATCTCCTTCCTTGGAGTTTGAAGCCATTGTTCCGCGTCCTAGTCTCCAGGGAAGCAGAAAACAAGCTTGTTCCCTCCTCCCTGTGGCTTCCCCTTACATACTTAAACATGGTTATCACGTTTCCTCTCAGCCTTCTCTTCCTCATGCTAAACATGCCCAGCTCTTTAAGCCGCTCCTCATAGGGCTTGTTCTCCAGACACTTGATCATTTTAGTCGCCCTCCTCTGGACACATTCCTTCGACGACATGTCATTGTCAACATTTCCTTGAGTATGGATTGCCTGGCGGTGTAATTCTGCCCCATGTACCTTCTCTCCTAGCCTTATCACTAACTCTGCATTGCTTTACGAGGCTCAAAGGTTGTGTTTCTTTGAATCCTTCTCTTTGATTTCATGCCCTTTGACACAGAACAAAAGCTGGGCTGGTTTGTGTCCCTGCGAGGCCTCGAACTTCCTGGTTTTCCTGTTACACTTTCATTTCCAACTTGCACAACAGCATCAGAGCAAGATATTCCGTGAAATGTTACTTGTCCAAGCTCCGCAGTAAATAAAGAACAGAAAGATATGCTACATAGCTTGTTTTCTGCTTGCCTGGACACTAGGATGCAATGGAGCAATGGCTTCAAACTACAAGAAAGGAGATTCAACCTGAACATTAGGAAGAACTTCCAAACTGTGAGAGCTGTTCAGCAGTGGAACTCTCTGCCCTGGAGTGTGGTGGAGGCTCCTTCTTTGGGGACTTTTAAGCAGAGGCTGGATGACCATCTGTCGGGGGTGCTTTGAATGCAATTTTCCTGCTTCTTGGCAGAATGGGGTTGGACTGGATGACCCACGAGGTCTCTTCCAACTCTAGGATTCTAATTGCTAATATCTCTCTGGAGCAAGGCTTTTGTAAAGTCTGTGGGACTTAATTGCTCACTCATAACCAAACTAGCCATCAAACAGTCTTGTGTTCAAACAAAGGTCGTGATAATATATCACTGGGGGGATTATTGTGAGAGATGCAGACAAACCTAGAGGCACCAGGGAGATGATACCATTGTCTCCACTCATCAAACAATCCTTGTACTTTGACTCTGCATAACTTCAGGTCATGAATCATAGAATCCTAGAGTTAGAAGAGACCTCGTGGGCCATCCAGTCCAACCCCATTCTGCCAAGAAGCAGGAAAATTGCATTCAAAACACCCCCAACAGATGGCTATCCAGCCTCTGCTTCAAAGCCTCCAAAGAAGGAGCCTCCACCACACTCCAGGGCAGAGAGTTCCTCTGCTGAACGGCTCTCCCAGTCAGGAAGTTCTTCCTCATGTTCAGATGAAATCTCCTTTCGTCTAGATTGAAGCCCTAGTCTCCAGGGCAGCAGAAAACAAGTCTGCTCCCTCCTCCTATGACTTCATCTCACATACTTATACATGGTCCTTATCATGTCTCAGCCTTTTCTTCTTCAGGCTAAACATGCCCAGCTCTCTAAACCGCTCCTCATAGGACTTGTTCTCTATACCCTTGATCCTCTGAGTCACCCTCCTCTGGACACATTCTAGCTTAGAGTCAATATCCCCCTTACATCTCACATATTTATACATGGCTATCATGTCTCCTCTCAGCCTTCTCTTCTTCAGGCTAAACATGCCCAGCTCTTTAAGCCGCTCCTCATAGGGCTTGTTCTCCAGACCCTTGATCCTTTGAGTTGCCATCTTCTGGACACATTCTAGCTTAGAGCCAATATCCCGCTTACATCTCACATATTTATACATGGCCCTCATCATGTCCCAGCCTTTTCTTCTTCAGGCTAAACATGCCCAGCTCTTTAAGCTGCTCCTCATAGGGCTTGTTCTCCAGACCCTTGATCATTTCAGTTGCACTCCTCTGGACACATTCCAGCTTAGAGCCAATATCCCCCTTACATCTCACATATTTATACATGGCCGTCATCATGTCCCAGCCTTCTCTTCTTCAGGCTATACATGCCCAGCTCTTTAAGCCGCTCCTCATAGGGCCTGTTCTCCAGACCCTTGATTCTCTGAGTTACCTGTTCTGGACAAATTCCAGCTTAGAGTAAATATCTCCCTTACATCTCACATATTTATATATGGCCCTCATCATGTCCCAGCCTTCTCTTCTTCAGGCTAAACATGCCCAGCTCCTTAAGCCACTCCTCATAGGGCTTGTTCTCCAGACCCTTGATCATTTTAGTCACCCTCCTCTGGACACATTCCATCTTTTCAATATCTCTTCAATTGTGGTGCCCATGCTGTCATTTGGTACTAGGTAAATGTAAAGGTAGTCCCCTGACATTAAGTCCAGTCATGTCTGACTCTGGGGTGTGGTGCTCATCTCCATTTCTAAGCCGAAGAGCCGGCGCTGTCCTTAGACACCTCCAAGGTCATGTGGCTGGCATGACTGCATGGAGCGGCATTACCTTCCCGCTGGAGCGGTACCTATTGATCTACTCACATTTGCATGTTTTCTGCTAGGTTGGCAGAAGCTGGGGCTGACAGCAGAAGCTCACGCCGCTCCCCAGATTTGAACCTGCAACCTTTCGGTCAACAAGCTCAGCAGCTCAGCAGTTTAACCCACTGCGCCACCGGGGGCTCAGTGGGTTAAACTGAGATATAAATAATTATATCTCTGTTATTAATAATAATAATAATAATAATAATAATAATTTATAACTGAGGTTGCTGTACCAATCTTGTTATGTGTCAAATTATTATTATTATTATTATTATTATTATTATTATTATTATTTGACACATAACAAGATTGGGACACAGAAAACAAGATCACTATGCTGGCTTTTGTATTGGATCATGTCGGACACTTCCCAAGTGGGTTGTTGTAGGTTTTTTCGGGCTGTATGGCCATGATCTAGAGGCATTCTCTCCTGACGTTTTACCTGCATCTATGGCAAGCATCCTCACTACCTCTGAGGATGCTTGCCATAGATGCAGGCGAAACGTCAGGAGAGGATGCCTCTAGACCAATGCCATACAGCCCGAAAAAACATACAACGCAGTGATTCCGGCCATGAAAGCCTTCGACAATACTTCCCAAGTGTCTAGGACTGTGTGATGTATTGATGAATAATATGTGCAGATCCAAGTACGGTAGCCTTTTGCAGCTGACAGATGGTAACTTTGTCAGTGCTGATTGTTTTTAAGTGCAGGCCAAGGTCTTTAGGCATTCTCTGTGGTGGCCCCCCGGGTCTGCCACCTCCCTCCTGTCCTTTAGGAAGCAGCTAAAATCCTGGCTCTGGAATCAGGCATTCAGATTGATGGATGACCCGGTATTGACTAAGAGTTAATGGACAACAACAATTGGATTGAGTTGGATGATGTTTTTAACTTGATGAATTGCTTTTTGTATGTATTTTAGTACTTATTTATTGCGTACTAGCTGTACCCGCCACACTTTGCTGTGGCCAACCTTCCCTCCCTCTTTCTCTCCTTTTTTCCTACCCTTCCTTCCCTCCCTCTTTTCTTCCTTCCCTCTTTTTCTTTCCCTTCTTCTTTCTTCCTTCTCTACCTGTTTCTTTTCTTGCTTCCTTTGCTCTTTGGTTCCATCCTTCCTTGTCTCCTTCCTTCCTTCCTTCCTTCCTTCCTTCCTTCCTTCCTTCCTTCCTTCCTTCCATCCTTCCTTCCTTCTTTCTTTCATTCCTTCTCTCCTTCATTCCCTCTTTCACTTTTTTATTTCCTTCTCTCCTTCCTTCTTTCCCTCTTTCTCTACTTACTTCCTTCTCTATTCTTCTTTCTTTCCTTCCCTCTTTCTCTTCTCTCCCTCTTACTCTCCTTCCTTCTCTACTTACTTCCTTCTCTATGCTTCTCTTTCCTTCCTTCTCCCCTTCCCTCCTTCTTTCTCTCCCTCCTTCTCTACTTCCCTCCTTCTCTATCCTTCTTTGTTTCCTTCCTTCTCTCCTTCCCTCCTTCTTTCTCTTCTCTCCCTTTCTTCCTTCCCTCCCTTTCTTTCTTTCCTTTTCACCTTCCCTCCTTTCTCTTCTCTCCCTTCTTCTCTCCTTCCTTCCTTCTCTACCCTTCTTTCTTTACTTCCTTCCCTCCTTCTTTCTCTCTCCTTCTCTCTCTTTTCTTTCCCTCTTTCCTTCTCTCTTTCTCTCCCTCCTTCTCTACTTACTTCCTTCTCTATCCTTCTTTCCTTCCTTCTCTCCTTCCCTCCTTCTTTCTCTTTCTCTCCCTCCTTCTCTCCTCTTTTTTCTTTCCTTTTTTCTTTCCCTTCTCTCCCTCCTTCTCTCCTTATTTCCTTCTCTATCCTTCTTTCTTTCCTTCCTTCTCTCCTTCCTTCCTTCTTTCTCTTTCTCTCCCTCCTTCCTTCTCTACCCTTTTTCTTTCCTTCTTTCCCTCCCCTCCCTCCTTCTTCCTTCCCCCTTTCTGTGCGTGTTTTGTGTGTGCGCGCATGCGTTGTAATGTAATTTTTGTTTTTTGGCTTTTTAAATCCCTTCTGCTGTGTTTTTCAGTGCTTTGTGAGTGAAAGACATACATTGTATTGTTAGGGGTCTTGTGTCCAAATTTGGTGTCAATTTGTCCAGTGGTTTTGGAATTATGTTAATCCCATGAACAAACATTACCTTTTTATTTATATAGATGTTGTTTTATATTTATGGTATAGAATTGAATTTTTGATAGGTTGGCAGAAGCTAGGGCTAACAGCAGAAGCTCATGCCGCTCCCTGGATTATAATAATCATCATCATCATCATTATCATCACCATCTTTATTTATACCACGCCACCATCTCCCTGATGGGGACTCGGAGGGGCTTACATGGGGCCAAGCCCAGACAACACAATACAACAAAACAGAGCATAAACAATAAACAACAACATCAAAATACATAAAGAAAACAACACAGTCATAAAATAACATTCCAATAAGCACAATCACAATAACAATGGATGTACAGGATAAAAGCAATTCTAAAACTCTAATGAGATAAAAAAAATAGGAGCAAGTTATCTGCAGGGAGCTAGTAAAAACATACATAGTTGTGAAGCTAAACTTCCCGTTTGGAGGGCGTATGTTCCCGTGGGAAGAGACATTCAAAAAGAACCTTAAAACCCGGCTCTTCCGCTGCACCTTTGGCGAGTAGGTGCAAAATATTGCACCCCTTGCACCCCTCTTAGAATCTATGATTCTATGATTCTAGATGATACCAAGGTGCTTGTCTATAAAGCTATTGTCCTCCCAACCCTGCTCTACGCCTGCGAAACGTGGACTGTCTACAGATGTCACATGCAACTCCTGGAACGATTCCATCAGCGCTGCCTCCAGAAAATCCTGCAAATATCTTGGGAAGACAAGCGGACAAACGTCAGCGTGCTGGAAGATGCAAAGACCACCAGCACTGAAGCGATGGTCCTCTGCCATCAACTCCGCTGGACCAGCCACGTTGTCCGGATGCCTGACCACCGCCTCCCAAAGCAGTTGCTTTACTCTGAACTTAAGAACGGAAAACGGAATGTTGGTGGGCAGGAAAAGAGATTTAAAGATGGCCTCAAAGCCAACCTTAAAAACTGAGAACTGGGAAGCCCTGGCCCTTGACCGCTCCAGCTGGAGGTCAGCTGTGACCAGCAGTGCTGCAGAATTCGAGGAGGCACGAGTGGAGGGTGAAAGAGAGAAACGTGCCAAGAGGAAGGCGCGTCAAGCCAACCCCGACCGGGACCGCCTTCCACCTGGAAACCAATGCCTTCCCTGTGGGAGAAGATGGGTCAAGAATAGGGGTCCACAGCCACCTACAAACCCACAAAAATAGTCATCAAGGAAGACCATCTTACTTGTCCAACGAGGGATCGCCTAAGTAAGTAAGTAATGATTCTAAGAGGGGTGCAAGGGGTGCAATATTGTGCACCTACTCGCCAAAGGCGCAGCGGAAGAGCCGGGTTTTAAGGTCCTTTTTTAAGGTTTCTAGAGAAGGGGCTTTCTTGATCTCTCCAGGTCATGAGTTCCAAAGCCGGGGAGCCACAGAGGAGAAGGCTCTCTTGTGCCCACAAGACGAGCTTGTGAGATTGGTAGGGGTGAAAGGAAGGCCTCCCCCGAAGATCTAAGGGCCTGGGTTGGCACGTGGAGAGAGAGTAAACCCTGAGACCTTTCGGTCAACGAGGTCAACACCTCAGAGGTTTAACCCGCTGCGCCACCGGTACGATCCGAGCGATTAATTGAGTGCAACATCTCTCTCTTCTTCGCCCACCCCCAATTTGTCACATTTTTCCCAGAATTGCCTTGTTGTGTCATTTCCGGTGTCGATGCAGTTATTCATATAAGCAGCCAAAAACAGACAACACCCAAAACAAAAAGCAGATGGAATCAACTGATGCAAATCAGAAAAATAAGAGGAAAAGAAAGAAGGGAAAGGAGGACTTTTAATAAGATGTCCATCTCCATTGCTAGGAATGGTGATAAATCCTCAGAAGGAAGAGGATTGGCAAAAGAACACATTGCTGGGGAAGTCCAGGAGATGTTTCCTCACGTCTGAATGTAAATGTCAAGTCCCGGAAGTGAAAAGGAGAAGCAAAAGGAAAGAAAGGCACTCACCGGGGTGAAGTAAGGCGTCTGGAAAGCCATGCCTTGCTCTGTCCTGGGCTGAACCGGAGCCAAAGAGGAGGAGACGACACTCCGAAGGACCTGCTCTCAACGGAGGGCTGGCAGAGATGAGACTGTCCCAAGAAAAGTGAAAGTCCAGCCCCAGAGAGAGGGGGCGTGGAAAGGGGTGGGACAGAGGCCAGCTGAAGCTGGGCTGCCTACCTGGGAGAAGGAGGAGGAAGAATGCAATAGATCAGTGGTTCTCCAGATGTTTTTGGCCTACAACTCCCAGTAATCCTAACAGCTGGTAAAGTAGCTGGGATTTCTGGGAGTTGTAGGCCAAAAACATCTGGGGACCCCAGGTTGAGAACCACTGCGATAGATAAAGAGGCTCAAGGTGGTTCCCCATTCAGTTTGAGGGCCTCCATCAGGCATGGGCAAACTTATGGAGGCTCCTTCTTTGGAGGCTTTGAAACAGAGGCTGGATGGCCATCTGTCAGGAGTGCTTTCAATGCAATATTCCTGCTTCTTGGCAGAATGGGGTTGGACTGGATGACCCATGAGGTCTCTTCCAACTCTAGGATTCTATGATTCTAACTTCCTGGATGGCTATCTGTCGGGGGTGCTTTGAATGCAATTTTCCTGCTTCTTGGCAGAATGGAGTTGGTCTGGAGTTGGTTCTATGATTCTAACTTCCTGACTGTGAGAGCTGTTCAGCAGTGGAACTCTCTGCCCTGGAGTGTCGTGGAGGCTATTTCTTTGGAGGCTTTGAAACAGAGGCTGGATGGCCATCTGTCGGGGGTGTTTTGAATGCAATTTCCTGCTACTTGACAGAATGAGGTTGGACTGGATGGCCCACCAGGTCTCTTCCAACTCTACAATTCTATGTTCAGCAATGGAACTCTCTGCTCTTGAGTGTAGTGGAGGCTCCTTCTTTGGAGGCTTTGAAACAGAGGCTGGATGGCCATCTGTCAGGAGTGCTTTGAATGCAATTTTCTTGCTTCTTGGCAGAATGGTGTTGGACTGGATGGCCCAACAGGTCTCTTCCAACTCTAGGTGCTCATCTCCATTTCTAAGCCGAAGAGCCGGCATTATCTGTAGACACCTCCAAGGTAATGTGGCCGGCATGACTGCATGGAGCACCGTTACCTTCCCACTGGAGCTCTCCATAGACACCTCCAAGGTCATGCTGCCAGCATGACTGCATGGAGCGTCGTTACCTTCCCACATGAGTTGTCCGTACACACCTCCAAAGTCATGTGGCCGGCATGACTGCATGGAGCACTGTTACCTTCCTGCTGGAGCGGTGCCCATTGATCTACTCACATGTTTTCAAACTGCTAGGTTGGGAGGAGCTGAGGCTGACAGCGGAAGCTCACCCCGCTCCCTTGATTCGAACCTGCAACTTTTCAGTCAACACATTTAGCAGCTCAGCAGTTTAGCTCACAGCACCACCAGGGCCCCCATTTAAGACCCGTGGCCTTTACAAAATACTCATTGCTGGTAAATCTAGAAATCAACTACTACGGTTGAATGAAAAGTAATGCCTCCACCTTTGTTACTTGGGTTTGGATGGGAATATTTTAATAACTCAAATAAAGAAATAATCCTTAGAATGTGCTCTTTAACTACCACTATTCACTTTTCCACATAACCACCAGACGATTGGATACATTTCTGCCAACGATGAACAAGTTTTCTGAAGCCGTCATGGAAGAAGTCGGCACTCTGTTTCCGCAACCCATCATGCGCAGATCTTCTGAGAGCCAAGCAAAGCAATAATGTGACCCACGTGTTCTTGTGAAATGCCAATTATGCTTGAAATTTCTCTCTGAGTGATACGACGATCGTCCTGAATCAATCTGTCAACCTTTTGCTTGTGAAACTCGGTGGTTGCTGTCACAGGACGTCCAACTCTTTGTTCATCACGCAAGTCAGACGTTCCCACCTCAACATCTTTAAACTTACTCGCCCAATGACGCACAGTACTCACATCAACACAATCACCATAAACAGCTTGCATTCTCTGATGAATCTCTTTTGGGGTGACATCTTCTGCTGTCAAGAATTCAATGGCTGCACACTGCTTAAGTCGCATCTGTGCAGGGTTCCATACTTCACACTTTAACAACACAACCATTCAATGCTAAGGCTTCCCGTCAAAATGGAACTGTAGGGGAGAGTCTACTGAACAAGCCAGTACCTGCCGCATACCAGTATTACCATCTGTTGAGGAATTACGAAGGTGGAGGCATTACTTTTCATTCAACCCTCATAGTTTGCTGATAGCTACCCAAAAGTATCCCCATCAGCAACTTTAGATTTTCCTCGAGAGGATGACGTAGCTATGGAAAATGTCATCCAGGTTTGCTTTTCCAGAAACTTGACAAGCTGGGGACTTCATTCACTATTTTTGTGTTAACCTGTACCCTGAATGAGTTGTGTAATCAGTCACCACCATTGTGAACCAGCAGGGTTTTTCCCAGTCACGTCATGTGATCCAGGGTCAAGCTCCTTTCCTTCCACTAATTTGGTCTGACTCACTGAAGGGAGAGAAAAAAGCGACCCCGAATTGACTTCCTAGATTTGCGTTCTTACTTTCTTGCTGCTATTCTTGGACGCACAACGTTATTGGGTCACAGCTAAGCTATTTGGCAGCCTGAGATTGCTGCAACTGGTAAGAGAGCTCTACGGGAAGGAAGCTGATGAGTCCTACCAGGTTCAAGGCCCTTCCGTCCTGTTATGGAGGTCACAGTTCAAAACCATTTCCAGTGTCCCCTTAACCCAGCAGGTCTCAACCTGGGGGTCGCAACCCCCAGGGGGGTCATTTGGGCATTTCAGAGGGGTCGCGAAGCCGCCGTCCCCTTCACCTCCTCCAAATGTCTGCCTCCCTCACCTGGCTCTCTCCGCTTGCCGGCCAATGGGGTTGCAAGCCATGGTTGTTGGATTTCAGAATGCTCTTTAATGGCATGGGAACTATACATCCAAGCAACTGCAACTCCCAAATGTCAGGGCCTATTTTCCCCAAATGTCTCCAGGATTTTCTGTTAGTCATGGGAGTCCTGTAGACCACATCTGGAAGACTGTGTCCAATTCTGGGCACCACAATTGAAGGGAGATGTTGACAAGCTGTGTCCAGAGGAGGGCAACTAGATTGGAGTACTGTAATGCGCTCTACGTGGGGCTGCCCTTGAAAACGGCCCAGAAATTCCAACTGGTCCAATGGGCGGTGGCCAGGTTGTTAACTGGTGCTCCTTACAGAGAGAGGTCAACCCTCCTGTTTAAGGAGCTCCATTGGCTGCCGTTCATTTTCCGGTCCCAATTCAAGGTGCAGGTGCTCACCTACAAAGCCCTAAACGGTTTGGGACCCGCCTACCTGCGTGACCGCATCTCCGTATATGAACCCACACGATCTCTTCGACCATCTGGAGAGGCCCTGCTCACACTCCCACCTGAGTCGCAAGCGCGTTTGGTGGGGACGAGGGACAGGGCCTTCTCTGTGGTAGCCCCCCAACTCTGGAACTCTCTCCCAAGGACATCAGACAAGCCCCAACGTTGGCAGTCTTTAGGAAGAGCTTGAAGACCTGGCTGTTCCAGTGTGCCTTTCCAGAATAGGAAACTCCCAGCATCATGTCCTAAACGCCTGCACATTGCACCTACCATAAAATCCTTACATTTCACCTGTCACGTCCAGCACTTTAATTTTATTCATTACATTTGGCCCGGCCCTTAGTTTTTAAACGTGTCATGATGTATTGTTTTGATGTTTTACTGTTATTGCTTTAATGTTTATTGGTTTGCTTTATGAGTTTTATTGTTGTATTTGTTATGTTGTTGTTTTTATTGAGGTCCTTGGCCTTTGTAAGCCGCACCAAGTCCTTCGGGAGATGTTAGCAGGGTACAAATAAAGTTAATAATAATAATAATAATAATAATAATAATAATAATAATAACTAAAATGATCAAGGGTCTGAAGAACAAGCCCTGTGAGGAATGGCTTAAAGAGCTGGGCATGTTTAGCCTGAAGAAGAGAAGGCTGAGAGGAGACATTAATAATAATAATAATAATAATAATAATAATAATAATAATAATAATAATAAATTTATTTGTACCCCGCTCCATCTCCCCGATGGGGACTCGGTGCGGCTTACATGAGGCCAAGCCCAAAACAACAATTACATGAAATAAAACAAAACCGAAAACGCAAATAATAAACAATAATAATGCAATTATATAAAACAAAGACAACATAGCAATATAGAATTACAATAAACACAATCACAATAGCATGGGCGAGCTACATGTAATGGATAAAAGAAAGCTGGGTCGAAACAGATTAAAAACTCAGGCGAGATAAACACGAGATAAACAAGGACAGATTATTTGCGGAGGAGAGCTCGTTTCGGTGGAGGTCGTGAAGCAAAGCTTTCCTATAGGGGGGATGCACGCCAATAACAGAAGCCGTTAAAACTAAGCACTAGTATGAGGATGTAAATCTATTCATCACATGATAGCTATGTATAAATACGTGAGGGGAGGTCATCTGGAGAAGAGAGTAAGCTTGTTGTCCCATATAGCCCTAAAAAACCTACAACAACCCAGTGATTCCGGCCGTGAAAGCCTTCGACAAAACTTCCTGACTGTGAGAGCTGTTCAGCAGTGGAACTCTCTGCCCCAGAGTGTGGTGGAGGTTCCTTCTTTGGAAGCTTTCAAACAGAGGCTGGGTGGCCATCTGTCGGGGGTGCTTTGAATGCAATTTTCCTGCTTCTTGTCAGAATGGGGTTGGACTGGATGGCCCACCAGGTCTCTTCCAACTTCAGGATTCTATGATTCTAAGTTTGATTCAATTCTATTTTTGGTGGAGTTCGGAATGCTTTTTGATGGCAGGTGAACTATACATCCAAGCAACTGCAACTCCCAAATGTCAGGGCCTATTTTCCCCAAACTCCACCAGTGTTAAAATTTGGGCATATTGAATATTTGTGCCATCTTTGGCCCAGATCCATAGTTGTTTGGGTTCACAGTGCTCTCTGAATGTAGGTGAACTACATCTCCCCTAAATCACTGTCAATTCCTCCAAAACCTCTCCAGTATTTTCTGTTTGACATGGGTGTTGTGTGCCAGGTTTGGTTCAGGTCTGTAATTTGCAGTTCG